AATGGTTTTTATTGTTTTTTGAAACTAATAATCCAGTTGACTCTTTTTATAAAAGGGTTTACTTTGTACTTAAAGACTCTGTATTGTATTGGTTTCTCTCCTACCTATACCTTGATCTCTTTTCGAATAATCATATCTAGAAATATTATAAGCACACCTAGTATATTGTGAGGAACCTAAAGCACAATATAATTGTATCAGGTCTCCGCAATTTAAACATCATCCGCATTAAACACGGTAATCAACTATATACGATTTTCGTTTTACAAGAGATTCTTACATTCCTCTAGCGTTTTGTATCCTAAAGTTTATTTTGTTTTGTTGTAATAGAGTGAAGGGATTAATTTGAGTCTTAATCTAGGAATTGCTTTTATAATCTTTAATTACAATTCGAAAGGATTATTGGTGATTATTTGTTACCCACTTCCTATTTTTATAAAGATTGTATAGCTGTTTTGTTTTTGTCGTTTATGCTTCTGTATCATTTCCATTATTTTGGGTGTGCTTGTCTTGGCATCCTTTAGTATTTGAGGCGTTCTTTTAATCTTGAGTGTATTAGTATAGAATTTGATAATTCTCTTTGGGGTTGCTTTTGTAATTAATATAGGGATTCTTTATATAAGCCCGGCTTGTCTTATAATCTTAATTATATCATCAATACATACAGACCTCAGTGTATCAGTGTAGCTCAATTCCGTTTTGTTTAGGATTTTAATGTATATGTTGATTGCACTCACAATCTTTAGGGTTATTTATTGCTTTCTGTTTTTTTTATAGAATTGATTGGTTATTGCTTTGTAGATAGATTATATATCGTTATCTTCACTTGCTTTAGTTGTTGATATGGTTGTTGTTGTTGTTGTTGGAGCGATTGGGTCGCGACCCGACACGCTCGGCGGTGCGACAGGTTGCTTATGATCGCATATTAACGGTATCATGGTATTATAAGATTCCTTTAATATAATTTGTTATAATCGTTGTATTTGAGATCCTGATTTTGTATGATAAATTGAGATAGAAATTTTTTGAATGATACTATTACATATAGTGTGAGGCTTTTTCATATATTTATTTAGATAATAGATAATAGATTCGATTTATTCATGAGTCTTTTAATATACTTAACTAAAAAATTGAATTTCCACTATCATTCGAATATATAGAGCCTTCAACGAATCCGCTCAGATCTCTATTATTAGTGGGGACTAGAGAGATATATCGAAATAGTACTACAATAATCAGAAACGATTAGCAGATAGGAATGTATTCTGATAAATAAAACTATAAACATTATAATAAGATCCAGGATTGTAATAGTAATTGATAATAGGAAAATGATGAATATTCAAAGTGTATTGATTTATAGCAAAAGAATAATCAGAGTATTGTATAGTTTCTAAATTGATATTATATTTTGTATTATTATATTGCTTTTCTTTGTAGTTGAATTTGATATAATCAGGCTTTTTATAATAAAGATAAAGGCTAAGATCTAGATATTGTTCTCTATTATAATATAATAAGAGTTGCTGACCTTAACAAATAACATCCAGTTATATAGGATCTCTAAAGAGATTAGATATAGATATTATAATAATAATAGCAGGCTTTTTTTATTAGATTTTTTCTGATTGCTAAAATTGATGCCTTGATTCTTATATTAATTATCAAGATAAATCTTCTCCTCTAAATCATTATAGATATCTTGCCACCAGACTATTTATATGTCAATATTAGCAGCAAAAGATTTATTAGAACGATTAACTGAAGTATTAATTAGTTCTTATAAAACTTTGAATTTAAAATCAGCGACTTATTATTCAGCAATCTTCTTATATTTGATAACAAGCTGTTTGAATTCAGTAATAAAGTTATCAAATAGGATCTTCTTTATTTTACATTTATTATAATTTATAAAAACTTTGTATAAGAAATCTAGAGTTTGATATTATTTATTTAATTCACACCAAATGCCTGCTATAGTATGCCATTCAGAGAGCCAAAGATCGAAATCATATGCATTATCTATAATTATATCAAAGTATATCTAATTATTTGTATAAACAAAATCAGAAAATAGACTAATAAGAAATATGATTTTCTAAAACTCTGATTTATTTTTGTAATCTGTAGTCAAGTAATAATTGATTATACTATGAAAGTTATATATTGATCTAATACTTTATGATATTTTGTTTATCATTATTAAACTTTTTAGAGGTAATAAGATATTTGTGATAAAATAAAGCTTATGAATTATTACAAATAGTAATCTTCAATATCTTAATTATATCTTTCAATTCGATAATCTTTGATTGAGTATTGATAGCTTGAGTCTGAGTAGTAGTAGTTTGGACTTGTAATGAGCTTGCAATTGATTCGATTAATTCAAATATAACTTGAGTAATAGTAAAGTATATAGCATTTAGATTATTGAATAGATTTGTAAAGAAAGAAATATCGATTTCAACAGAATTGAGAATGTGATTTAAGAAAAGAAATTGCGAAGGTAAGCTAGATACAAGTGCTTCTGGTATAAATACTTGTTTACCTATCTTCAGCAACTTTTTGAGGTTCAAAATATTGGTGGTAAGATATATAATAAATCAATAATAAATATGATCAGCGTGATTGGGATAAGGCATTAATAGGGCTTTGGAAATAAAATAAGAAATAAAGCTGTAATAGTTTATTTGAAGATAATATAAATTATCAAGGTATGGATAAAGACTTATATTATATTATAAGGGTAGAAGAACTATGAAAAAGTAAAGCCCTACTTATAGGAAATAGGGCGCACTAGTATGCTATGCCTGAGATACAAGGCAACTATAGATCATATAGTTGGCGCTGTGACAAAAGTATACTTTTATTCCCTATTTTTATAAATATAATATAATTTGAATATTCTTTATAAAACTTTGAAACTCAATATATATTTAAAGATTTAATAAATAATTATTTTAATATCAATTTTCTTTATTTAAATACGATATCGATTAATAAATCTTATATAGAATTTTAATACTCTAAATAAGTATTATTTTTATAATAATTTTAAACAATAATAATTTCTTATGGATTTTGATTAGATTAGAAAAACTTATAAAGAATGTAAAATGATTTTATAAAATTCTATATTAAAGTCTATTTATATATAGTTTTTCAAATATAAAATAATATTAATTAAATTTAATATTGAATTCTAAAGTAGGTAAGTTTTGGTGTGAAAAGTGCCTGTGCACGGACCCGGGCCCTCATCAAAAACACGCCCTCGTAAGTGCACTTGGCAATATGTCCAGCTTGCGGAATAGATGAGCAACAGTTTCTCCAGATTTTAGAGTTTGATTCTCATATCGTGCACACCATAAGATCTGAGACAGAGTGTCATCCATGATATGATGGGTCCACTGATTCCACTGATTTTACTGAAAGCCGTTTGCTAAATGGTAATCGGCATTGAATCTCCTCGAAGATAATCTATATGAAACTGAAACGAGATTCTTCCAGTCTTCTATAATTTCCATAGCAATATGGAAATTAGAAGAATTCGTACTGCTCTGCGAGTATGTACCGTACTTCTTGAAATTACAGATTAGACAATTACATGGTAATACGATGGTTGGGAAAGGTGTCTTGTCTTATATAACTTAAGCTCAGCCAAGTTGCTTTGAAGTCTATCATTCATCTGACGAGTTTTCAAGCTATATTCACTCGTTCTGCTCTTTGATTCTCTCAAAAGCAAGTTGCTTCAAATCTTTACTTGTTTTATCTGTCTTCGTTCTTGAAACTATCATTACCATCTATCAACATGAAGTACTCAATTGCCGTCGCAGCTCTCCTTGTAAGCTCGGCTGTTGCAGCACCAACAACGAAGCTCAATGCCAAGCAAAGACTTGCTCAGCGAAACAAGAACGCTGCTCGTTCCGAATACTACAATGAGAGCTGGTCTGGTGCTGTTCTTACTGGTGCTGTTTATACTGGTGTTTCTGCTTCTTTTTCGATACCCAAGCCACAGGTTGGTACTACAGGAGAGACCTCAGCATCAGACTTCACGGCTTCTACCTGGGTTGGTATTGATGGATATAATTGTAACAACCTCTGGCAAGCAGGTGTTGATGCCACAATTGAGAAATCGACGGGTGAAATTTCATACTATGCTTGGTATGAATGGTACCCCGCCGCAACTCAAGTCATTGATTTAGGTACTCTCACAGCTGAAGATGTAAGTTTCCTAGTCTTATTGCCGTAATGCAGGAACCAAACTAACAACTCCAGGTTATCTCCGTAAATATCACCACTAGTGGCCTCAACCAAGGAACCGTTGTTATGAAAAATAAATCCACAGGAAAATCATACACCAGGACCGTTTCCTCGGCGAATACTTTGTGTGGTGTTAGTGCTGAATGGATCATGGAGGATTTGAGCGTTGATTCTAGCACTATCGGTCTCGCAAACTATGGAAGTGTTGTTTTCTCCGACGCAGTCGCTACTACTGCTTCCAAAACGGTCACACCATCTGGCGCGGTAATTTGGATATTGAGACTAGCTCGAATACTGTCCTAACGAAAGTCTAGTGTTACTGATAAGTCAGTAACCATTGCTTATGTTTAGACTAGAGGGGCAAGGGTTGTAGTTTTGTACATAATTGGCAGGGGCAGCGTGATTGAGACGCTTAGAATCATTGTGTATATAGCTTTGAATATGATTCAGTACCTACATAGGAAGAACCACCTAGCGTCCTATTTTGCTGAAGCTTTGTTGTCGGACCCCTATAATTTTTGATGGATTCGATTTTCATTTGATGCTGTCTGCTCAGTTGACATCCGTGTGAAGGAAGTCAATAAACGCATCAGCCACAATTGTGCTTGGCTGTGGCTTCCACTTTGCGACATCTTCCCCAAACAGAGACACTATTTTAAATAGTAACAGCACACTATTAATAAGTTATTCTATATACGTTGGAATTCTTGACTATAATAGTTACACAAAAAATTCCCCTACAACTGCACACGACTTTCCCATCCATCCACCGGTCTATCAATTGACGGTGGACGCAATGAAGCTCCAGCGGGATCCCAATCTATCGATAGCGGCTCATGACTTCTGTTATATTTCATCCCCTTGAACCATAGTTCAAACCTTAAATCTGCTGGTGCAACTATTACTCGCACGGTAAACGTGGCGAGATAGTATTTCTTTCGTTGCCAGAGCTTTCGATTTTTCGGTTCAAATTCTTCCTCGTCGACTTCCTTCAAATCCGAGTGCACTGTGCACAGTTTTGAGACATTGGCTGCAGCTATTCGTTAATTTTCTATATTTATGCTGGTGGGATTGGAACTCACAGTGTCTGAAACTCGTGGGTAGATTGTTACGATCTTCGTGGGAAATTACAATTGTTGTATCCCATGTTCGATTATTGTCTCCCGGAATAATCTTCCTCGTGAACAGTCGGTCTCGAGCAGAATCAGTCTCGATAGTGTCATCCTTGATAATTGTAAGAATTAGGAGTCGGTGTCTGGAGAATTGCATTCACTATACCTTTTTTATGATCCAGTCAATTTGCATCGTTGCCCATTTTTGTTTCTTGTTGTAAGGATCAGTTATGATGGTTTCTCCTACATGAATCGCGGGGTTGTATTCCTGACGACATAAGACACCGTAACTCGCTCTTGCTCTGTGTTTCTCATTGTGTTAGTATTGCCGTCATACGAAAAGCGAAATGTTTGAGATACGAACACTCTAGTTTTCAGAGTCGCCGATCCAACTTTTATTCTTTGCCTTCTATCTATCACCAATCCCTTTACCACTGAAAGCCGTGGCTCTTGAGATTTTAAAATTCTTATACGATGTGCTATTTGGCGAGGATTTCGATGAAAGTATTCTTCAATCTTGGTCTTTACATATTGTGAGCCTCCAAGACCGCCACTCAAGACAAGAAATTTCTATAAATTTTAGCCAAGATCTCGTTTTCCATTTTTGAAGGACTTACCACATCATCATGGCTTCTATGCGTTTGCATCCAGTCCAGTTGTTTGTCAATTTTACGTATTATACCAGATATTTGCACGTCAAACAGAGATTGTATTTCGAATCTATGTTTTGTTAGCATTGGTCGCCTTGGATATTCATTCACTCGCCTTGAAAATTGCATTCTACCCTTTCATCCGAAGTCCCGGGTGAGTTAGATCTTTGTCAATCCCAATTCCCAATTTATCGAGTCGTAGTATATATACAGCATGATTGCCTGAAGTCGTACCGAAGTTATGTTTAATAGACTGAAAGGACGAACCTCTAGCTAGTTTATGTGCTAGGTTATCTGGAAGTTCTATGTCGGGATACGCATCCAATCGATTTTGTACGAGACGTTCGAATGCTCGGTCAATCATTGTCGATCCGATACCAACACCTTTAACTTCTGCTACCTGCTTCAATGCTGGTCTTTGAGGGTTTGGATCCGCTACTTCGACAAGACCAAGGCTGAGAGAGGCAATTAGCGACTGTGACTTGATAAACTTACAGTGCATCAATATCTAAACTTAAGCCAGGACTTACTCGGTTGTTCCTCCACCTGCATCACAAATGAGAATGATATCTCCTTTCTCAAGTTCAATTTCGGAGTTTGTCACAAAATAAACAGCTGCAGCTTCAGCTTCGGTCAATTCCAATTTCGCCGAATGCTTATCCGGATTTTGAGATGTGAAGCCAGCCGCACTAATCGCTTCGTTGAATCTATTAACGGTGTCCAAAGCATCCCAGGTGGTGGGAAGACTAAAGACAAATTCGATCCTCTTCTCTTTCCAACTTCCGGTAATAGCTTCGATACATAGTTTGACGTGCTTGTAAATCTGGTGTAAATAATCCGTCACGAGATATTTTGCTTCGTCAACAGTTTCAGGCATATCTCTTACACCCCCCTTCCGAGCTAAATCCAAACTATGTTGATCTAAGTAGATCTTAAAATGCTCATGTACTTTTGCAAATTCATGATATTCATCATCGGGATCGCATGAGAATCCCCAAACGGTTTCATGTCTACCATTTGAATTGCGTGAATATGCAATCGTCGTTGGAACTTTCGTTTCCACTGAATCTGGAGGTAATCCGGGCCATTCTTGAATACTTTTGGTGGGATTGGAATTGCTCAAGTTTGACCATACAACTCCTAGAAGTGGTTCTTAGTATTTCGTGTATACTCACAGTGTGTTGCTAGACTTACCAGTGTATGTCTGCCCAAAATCAATCCCCACTATGATATCCGGAGCGTTATCATCGAAGGGAGCCATCGTGACTGAAGTGGTCTTTTTTCCTTGCGCGTGCAAATTTACCCAGGAGGAATCGAAAAGGATCAAAAATAGGGAACTTTTGATCGAGAAGAAATTGATTGATTATGAGCAAGGTGTACCGGCCTCTAAGAACTTCATTGATTTCACAGCATAATCATCTTGAATAATTTGACTTTTGCGATGCTACTTGACCAAAAAAGTAATCATCAACCAGGTAATGGTAATTTGTAATCTATCTGACAATGTCGCTATAAGTCCAGCCCCCAGATTTACATTCTTATTTGGGTGATTAGCCAATAACTGATCTATCAGCCGCAATCTTATCAGCCTATTAACTTCGTTGTTTCTATCCTGCTTGGTTCTATTATTCCAGACTGTCATACTCATGTATGTTCATGTCACCACAAAGTAAGTAAATGTGGAGGCCAAAGAACCAGGCTCCGCACGGAGAAAATAGATTCTAAATCACACACCAAAATAAATTTTAAAATATATATTCGAGCATGTAAACTGATTTGGAGTAGGGTATGTATATGAACATCTAATCTGTTCTGGAATATCAAAATGATTTGACCTATAAATTCAAATTGGAGCGTTGACAGCATTTGATTGTGGAATATATTAGAATATTGACCCAATGGTTTCCTTGGTGTGGAACTTATTTTGTCCGCGCCAGGGCAAGACTTTTGCAAAACACCTGTCAGATTGATCTTATTTATTCGTATGCTTCTTAGCGATTCAAATATCAGTTAGTATTCCAAGATAAAACTGCAAAAATGGCAACATTGTGACCGGATGAAGGGAAAAGTTCTAGGAATGACAAGGATCATGCACTAGCTTTGGACCCCAAAACAATTAAGCCAATGCTTATTGAAGAAATATCCATTAATGGAGAAGGATTGCGGCACAGATTAATTCAATGTCCATGCAATGCAACACAAATTAGATTGGTTACATGAACTTTGTGGAGTCTCCTCTCTAGATAGGGAACTCACCGATTGATCTTGGTACTTAATCCGTCCCATGTCCAAACCGATTAATGAGGCGGCGCTGCGCTCTAAGGCCGAGAGCCTCATGAATCTCACGCGATGCCATTCCCCCAGAGCTTGTTCTTTGTTTTCTTGTTGATCTGGAAATGAAGATTGGCATTTGCATTTGATTTTGTTGAGTATCTTTCAAAGTTCATGCAATTCAATCATGTCAAGTTCGAATGCATCTTCCAATCCTTCTGGTGCTAGTCTTGCATCGGGAGCCTCTAACACAGCAAGCCCTACTACGGAATCCACTACTTTAGCAACCTCTTCATCGCCAACCTCGACAGGCTTTCCGACCTATACTGGTCCTGCAAATTCAACCGCGACTGGTCACCATGGCTCTTCGGTTTCTGGAGGAGCTATTGCTGGTATCGCAATAGCTACTTTCATTGTTGGTGCACTTCTCGGTTCGATTGGCCTTTGGTTTTACTTTAGGAGAAAACGAGCATCGAAAACACCGTGGAACTCTGGAAATGGATACAGCAAAAGAAATGCTACTACAGATCATGGTGTTGCAATATCCAAAGATCCCGAAACACAAATGCAAAGCTATGTAATTGCTGAACGAGCAGATGATAGTCAATTGCGGCACCAAATGCAAAATCTTGGAGAATTGATCTACCAACATGTCGAAAATCACTATACTACAGGACCACATACTGGAACCTCTCAGGATTTCGCGGCGACGTTGAGGAAATGTGGATATTCGGAACGAACTGAGCCTACGATCTCTACGCTTGGATCACTACTTGGCAATTCTAGTGAGCGACAGATAGCAATCAAAAGTCTTATCGCCTGGGTCATCTTGAGAGGGGTAGAGCTAAATAGTGGTTCTGACTATTCATTGTTGCCTGATGAGATCACAAGCTTTTATCGTTCAGCTTTGAAGGATAATAAGCAGTTGAACAAACAGGATGGTATGCATTATTCATTTTTCAGCACTTTCTTCCATAGAATTTCTTGTCTTTCCTATAGAGTGATTTCTAAAGTTTTCTCAACAGCACACGGCAACGTACTATCCCGAGTGCGAGAGATATCCACACGTCATATGTCTTCATCAAAATCTCCAGAAGACGCTTCCAAAGACCCATCAATAGCAAGAGTTATCAACCTTCTCAACTCCATACTCCAGCCTTTCATAAAACCCAGTAGCAAAAGTTCACAATTCGAGAATCTCGCCTCAATCATCTATCAAGGGAGGGAGTTCGGATTGCTGCTGTTAGCACAACCAGGAAATTGGCTGTTTGGTTGGCAAACAAGCGCAGGAGTGGAATCGAACACCAAGGGCCAGATTATTGTATTCCCTAGTTTAGAGGAGGTAATTAATAAAGACGGAAAAGAACGCCGGAGGGTTGTTTGTGAGCAGGAGAGGGAAACGATTTAAGGGGATAGGTATTAGAGGTACTTCTAAAAGGAGTATGTAGCATTAATATTAATCAATAAACAAAATCCATAAGTGCTCCATTATATGGAAGATTAGATGCTAGTCATAGATTGAGAAGATGAGGCTCCAGAAAGGTGTTGGGTTGTTCTAGACAAACTGCTCAAATTTCTTAGTCAGAGTACTCAGTACTACAGAGTTCCAAGTCCCACAAAAGTAATGCATTTTCAGGAATATAAGACTAGCTACTTAGCCGCGGAGCTGCAGAAGGCTTTTGAGGCTGAGTAATATTCAGTGTGGCAGAGGCTGATAAGCTACCTAGATCACGCACATGCATGTTATCACTTCTCCTCATTTTCCCCGTTTTCTCCATTGGATATCATCGCTGTAGACTATCTTAAACTCAAGAAGCTGTCGACAGCTGTTTTCCATCCCTAAGATCTATTCAATCTTTCTCCGGTTGACTGATCATGCCGGACCCTATTACTGTTAGCACTATAGCTAGTGTAGCCGGGGTAAGCATGTCTTTCTTGGGATTCCCAATGCACACAAAATGATGCGCCCCTCTTCTATCACATATTTCTCGAATTTCACCTAGAAATACTAATTCACCCATTTAAGGCTCTATCTCATTCAATCTCCATCGCTGCATTCGTCAAAGATATCAAGAATACTCCAGCAGACGTAAAGACCTGTTTCTCCCTCACCGAACGGGTTTCTACTGACCTAGAACATCTTATTCTTCTCCGTTCCCAACATTCTAAATATCTTTCTCGAAGCCCATTTGCCTCCAAAAGACTAGATGGCATCATCAATGATGTAAGAGAAAGTATCTTGGACATATGCAGACTATTGGAAGGGTGTAGAAAAGAGGTTTATGAAGGTGAACATATCCCGGTGAAGAAGAGGTTGCAATGGGTACTAGGCGATGGATCAGCATTTGAGAGGAGAAGAGGGAATCTGCAACAACAGCATATTGCACTTCTGGCGGAAATTGGATGGTTAAGGGGACTTGAAGTGGGGAAGGGAACAGGGAATTTGGAGTTTGAAAATGTTGAATTGTTGAGCGCAGGAAGAAGGGAGAGGAAGAGCAGTTCAGTTTCTCAGACTGGAAATCGATACGAGGGTATTGACTTGAGACAGCCAAGTAAAGGTGTGGAAGTGGAAGTTGAGGAACTAGATTTTGGTGGGGATATAGAGCCAGACTCTCCCGTGGCAAAGGAAAACATAGCTAGGAAACCTGTGGCTATTCCTAGCGAAAGTCGTCAAGAGTTCAGCAAATATGAGGAATCGGATGATGAGGATCCAGAATTGGCTTTTTACAGAGATTTGAGGAGACAAGAAGAAGAAAGACATAAGAGAATGGCCGGGAGGAAGAAGTTGAGAAATCCATGATAGCAAAGTATGCATTTTAATGATTTACAAGGAAATCACTCTTACAAAAAGTTTATTTGAGATCTTTGGGAATGTTGTATGAATGGAGAAGGTAGTATTTGATACAGAGTGATTGATCGGTTGTCTAACTCTCTAAGAAAAGAAAGCATGAAAAAAATACAAACTTTCCATAATTTCACCCAAATTTCAAAAACTCAAACAAACTGATTCAAGCTGAAAATGGCTGCAAATGCTCATGCATAACCACAGTTTTTGTCTGCTTCCTTGATGTCCTCGTTATTTCAATGATAATTACACCCTGCTGAATGTACCAATTCAGAACCAAATAGTTGGTTATCAGACTGCCAAGTCGATAATACCATCCAAACTACCGCTATAGCTATCATACTCTGTACGACATATCGTATTTCCATGTGTATCGCTTTTGAATAAATCTCTCCAGCTCTGCTTGATTTCCGAGAACTGGGCCTGTAGATCACGCAATAAATCTTTGAACACGTCTATAAACAAGTCATATCTTCCGTGCTCAAAGGCTCTTCCTAGTCTTCGAAGCATTATTTCTCTTGGGTGATCCAAGCGAAAACTCTTTATTTCTTTTCTTTCAACTCGAAATGCAATTTCAATCCTCTCATCCTGATCACGTTTGAAGGCTGCAGCATACTTCTCGATTAAAATCACCAGTCTAGCAGCCTCATATTTGTGAACGTATCCTCTTGGTGACTCTAGATCAAGAGCCCGGTACCTTTTTTTTGTCCTCTTCAATGGCAGCTACCAAGACACGAGAAGCATTAACAATGCGATTGTACTGTGGCTGAAGATGCTTAACAATGTCCGCTCTGACGGATTTGAATCCCATACTATCAAAACTCAGCGAGGCTTTCGCTGCTTTTCTAAACGCCTCCTCATGAAAATTTCTTGGATCATCCATATAGGGGTTCAAGTCAAAGCTCTTTTCTCACCCGCGAAATGGCGCATTTCCACTATGAGCTACTGCTATTACATCTTCACCCATATTTCTCAGGTCTAGCTTCCATGGAGCAAAATTCTCGAAAGACAGTACAAAATTGATGAGGTGTCTGTTCATTTCAGAAGGCCTGATTGTGTTAGTTGTTGTCGCTGTAAAGTTACTTTTCAAATGTCACAACTTACCTCTCGACCGGTCTATTACCCTCGACTAAGCGCTTCAACTTTTTGTATGACTTCTTGTCTAAGAGGTTCGACTCGTCGGGATAAGCGAGCAACAGTTTGCGGTTGCTTTGCGAAAAGCGACTATTATTTCGTGGTGCAGGTGGTGGGAATTCATCCAGTGCCGCCTCCCTGATAGTTAAGTTTCCTACGTTTCGAAGGATTGTCAAAGGCAGGAAAGTTTGTCGTGGCTCCATAAGTTCCTCGCCATATTCGGGTACGGCTAGGTCCCATAGTATGACCTCAAGCTCTCTGATAGGGACACCGAACACAAGGTCGCAGAAGTGTTGAAACAGGTTGTGCTCCCACTCCGGTCTTATTGCCTTCCTAATCGTGTACGAGCTAATGATTATTCTCCATTGTCGAACCTTTTTAAATGCCGGTTGTGTTATTGCTTTGATTTCTTTGCAATCCAGGCCTTTTTGGCGGTATGAACCACCATACCTCAACAGAGGAGTAAATATGTTTTTATTCCCTTGCGGATGGCCCATATTTAACATTTGTCTGTTATAGCATAGGAAGAATGGCTGAGAGTACAAGATCTCGCATCCTTCCTCGTAGTTCTGTCGACAGACTCTGAGAATCGAAGGATGCAGATGATATTTGATAGGGTCATTTGGAGCCTGGACTTGGTAGTTTCCCAGAATAGATTTCAATTCTCCTAGAACAGGATTGATGAGTAGCTCTTTGAAGATCTTGAATCGAATCTCTAGCGGCAGTGTATTGAGTGATGGGGGCGGATCGGCTTGATCAAGTACGGCTTCGATTTCCATTGTGGTAGATGTTCAAAAATTGGATCGCTCAGAGGCAGTCTTTCGTGACTGTTCATTGAAGTGTTAGAAAAGCGGATGAATAAAGGTAGCACACCATACTTCTCTGTTGCTATTGTTCTCAGTGCCTGCTATCCCACCGTCGTGACTTGTATTAAGTTGGACCACAGAATTGTTTCCTTAACAAAATTGCGTGCCTTCCGTAAGGTTGTTGTGTTGCTTATTATTGCTGATAGTCAACTTGGTTGATAAGTGTAAAGTGTTTTAGTCTATTATGATTGTAATCGTTCTTGATCACTACTAATCATGGGAAGCTAGTATTTATATAAGGAAGCGCTAGCGCCTCGCTAGCTAATACAGTACTCTCTCATGATCCCGAAAATCATGCAACACAGTCTTGTGTTATCTTGCAGAAAACACCCAGGGAAATATTAAGAGACTGTAAAACATGTAGGAAGAAGAGGGGTACAAGGTCCTTTTGCAAAAATCACTAAGCAAGATAACTTTGCTCTCTGATTACAGATCTAATGAGTGATAAATTTTCTTGCTGAAGTCCGATCAAAAGGCCCAATTAATCTATCACCAGGCTAACAGGAAAGTAAGGAACTAATATATCAAGAATTCAATCCCCCATGAAACATTTTCTTTCGGCACTTCTTCACTAATTTGAACGATTAGTCACAATTTTTGAGTTCGCAATACACTTTATTCTTCAACCGCGACATTTGGAGCATCTCTACAACCTGGAACCAGTGGAAGCAGTTCTTCAAGCTCAATATAGTGTGGCTAAAAGAGATTTATACTGAAGCAATGAATCCTGTCAGGATTCAGATATCAAAGGCGTCTGACTATTGAATTAGTAGTGATACTCGAGTTTCCATCTTTCTAATACCATCTCTTGTGATTGGCTCATTGTGAAATCTAATGCAGGCTTTCATACTTGCTTTAAAATAACATTTGATGATATTGATCAGATTCTCCAGATTTTTGGATTAACAACTCCATCTAGTGAATGTATAGTTTCCATTCAACACTTAGACATGCACGTTTGTGGATAAATTTTTAACTTGAGTGCTTGTTTCTGCATGAACATGACTGATTGAGCGTCTGAGAATATGAGCATTTGAGCGATTGAGCGATTGAAAAATTGAGTGATTGAGTGATAGACTAGATCTTTACCGAGAGTCCATCTCTATTAGATGATTGTACGTATCATGATGGGTATAAACCATCTTCCAATCCATCTCGTTCGCCTAGATATTAGACGATAGGACATCATCTGCATTTAAACGACAAGAGAGTGTGTCACGTGATGCTTCTACAACCATTTAAAAACACCATGATGTAGGTAGGTAGAGTTAATTCACTGTCATCTATCAATCATTATACATGTCTCATTACGACCCTTGCGCCGTTTCTAGTGGCGTTGATATGGTATTACGGTCCGTATAACTGGTCTTCATCCATGGATATCCAAGTATGGTTCTTGACAGAGAACTACGGTTAAGATCATCTCTTTTGCAAATTATGAGGACCGTACTGCATTCACTTTGATTTAGTTGATGCAACCAAATCATTGTGCCGGACTTTACCACCATGATATTATCTACGGTCATTACCTGGTGATAAGTCATGAGCAACGATGTGATCAACTTCGGTAGTGGCTACATGGAATAGTAAACTGAACTGCTAGTCCTCTGAGTTTACTACGGTCACTGCTACTGTCGTACTAAAGACTTGGGATGTGACCATACGATTTGGCACGGTTTGAGGAAACATTTGGATTCGTTACGGTTCTGATGAGGATTACCAACTCAGTACGGTGTACGGCAACTTTTGCGAACATGGCATCCAATACAATTAATATATAAACCTCTCAATCCACTGAGCTCTCCCTCTCATTCTCATTCGCAGGAAAAATATCCAAAGCAACTTCTTCTCATTCTCAATCAGAGAATAAACATCCAAAACCAACTTCAAAGATACTCATACAGAGAAAAATACTCTTTCAATTCAAATATTTCGAGACTCCTGACCAGTCAAAATGTTCTCTTCAGACGACTCAGATATTGAGATGACGGACATCAATGGTAAGATATCAAATTTTTCTCGATAGCTCCTATGGTTTATAACATGCTAACTGTATTTAGATAACCAAACACAATCTCGACAGGGCTCACGCTGGATTTCCCGAAGAAAGCCAGGCATCATGACCAAGTCCAAAAAATCTGCACTCGACAAGCTCCCACTCGAGGTTAGACGAATGATCTACAAGGAGCTCTTAGTAAATCCAGTTGTAGGAACCATGAAGGCCATTGAAGCAGACACCGAGTTTGGAGTCGAAGCCACCTATGGACTCACACCGGCCATATTACGCACATGTCGCAGCGTCTACGCAGAAGCTTCGGAGGTCTTGTACGACCAAACCTTCATTATCAAGTGCGATTACAGCTATCGCGGTGGAAGCTTGGGCAGAGACCTGTTATGTCATGCCCTTGTCCTATATTGAGATACAGATACAAGCTTACCTCTCCACTCACTCGACTTGAGATTCCTGTCAAGTCTTTGGCAATGACACAAGCCCGTTCCTGGAAAGTTCTCGTCGATTCGTCTGTCGATAAAACCGATTCACACCAACAGTTCTACGAATTCTGTAGAGCAGTCTGCGACGCTCGTCCAAAGAAGATCGAGATTGTCATGTTGAAGACAGGAACCGGTCCACCTAATCCAGCTCAAGTCGGGCGGTTGGGAATATGCCGTACGTGGAAGCCATGGGAAACACTAGCACCACTTACCATGTTACGCAATGTCGGAAAATTAACCATCAGAAATGAGTACCCGTCGTTCCTCCATGAAATCGACGGCTTCAACCCAGACGAAGTTGTCTGGAATTCCCACGAGCCTGGGAAAGTATTGACTCGCATGCTACAAAATCTGGTACAAAGCGGTAGACCAGTTGAGAGGTAAGAATCTTCAATTCCTTTGATACGAAGATTATGTGCTAACTAAGTAAACAGAATATTCACGATGCGAGAAAAGCTTGTCATTCTCGCGGAGAGCTTCGAGCGATATCTTCCCTTCAAGATGGACATGAATTTCCGCGCTCCCTTAACTATGCACGACAATATTCGTTCTCATCCAGAGGACATACATGAACTTATCGAGTTCGGTTACAAGAGATACACTGAGTATCATGTTCCAAACCCAAACCGCAACAAAGACGGCAACAACGACCCGGAAGAGTCTCTGTTCCAAGCCAGAAATGCCGATTTGACTATGCAAAATTCTAGTTTCAAGCAGCATAGGGAAGAAGTGGTCAAGCAATTGCGACTCCAGTATAAGAGATTGCTAGATGCTTCTAACAAGCTAAAGTCTTTCAAATCTGAACGAGACCAATTTTGGGAGAGAAAAGATGCTGGATTTGCTCACTGGCTACTATTAATCGAAAAATATGCCGCAGAGTTTGAGCGCAAGAAGAACCCTGATACAGCTGCAGAGTTCCGCAGACAGAAGCGCAGATTCGATAACCTCCGTGCAACATGGCCAAGAGAAACCATGCTTGGTAAGCTGGATCGAATGATGGAGGATCGGGAGTTCGATGAATTCGAGACGGTTGCCCTGACAGTTGAGGAGGACATGGACAAGCAAGTCGCAGGAATGACAGCTGCATGGAGAGATCTTTTCAAGGCAGATGTGTACAAGGAGAGATTCTGTCAATACAAATTTGATCTTGCAGCCTTGCGAAGAAAGAGAGTTGTTCGAGATAGGGATGAGGAATAGAGAGTGGCTGCGGGGGAAGGGAATGACTCTAGATTACTTCAATTCTCTTATTCCTTTGTTCATAGGGAGAGACGAAGTCGATGTGGGAAATTGATCAAGGCAACATCAAAATCATAGTTCATTGACATAAAGTGTCTATCTTAGTTAGATCCCAGCAATTAAGATGCTATTGAAAGAAATTTTCGCTCATTAAATAAATCTAGATACCAAGTGACATTTGCAATGTGATTCCTAATTATTTGAATTATTTGGAAATACTCCTATATATATACATATGAGCTTAACATTTGGACTTAGCAAACGATAAGTGTTGAGACTTTAATTTCCCATGGATATCTATTTAGAGTAGGGATAGGAGCTATGGACGATATGTTAATCATAGCGCTTCCTGTGTATCTTGACATACTTGTGGCTCACTAAGAGCAATGTGACGAGCGGATTTATCAACCTTCCCAACAGAAACCCGATTCTCTTGGGCGTCAACGCTGTGTTCAAGATCGACTTGTTGTCCACCTGTACTTGACTGGTAGGTTCGTGTCAAGCAAGGGATTGGCTTCAGAACTTTCAGCTACTGAATCTGTATTGTGAACAGGATTCAGATCAGCTTCGATATCAGCTTCGGTATCGGCGTGGACACTGACTTGGATGACACCGGCTTGAATGACAGCGGCTTGGATGGCACCGGCTTGAATGTCAGCGGGTTGGAAGATGGCGGATTGGGTATCAGCAGATCGGATGGCATTTGCTTCGGTATCAGCTTGAATATCGGCTTGAATGACGGCAGGCTCAATATCAGCAGGCTGAATACCGGCTTGAATATCAGCAGGCTGGGATATGGCGGGCTGGGTGTGAGGTTGGATATCAGCAGGCTGAATATCAGCAGGTTGAATAGTTTCAGCTTGGATATCAGCTGAAAGTTCTGACCTTGAACTTCGTTTTGCAGCTTGGAGACAGTTGTTCTCAGAACGTCGATCTCCTCGATCGCTGTAATGGCTTTTTGAAGGTTGGCCTTCAGAATTTTCGTGTCAGCCTTCCCGAATCCAACAACTGAGTTTGCGAAGACGTCATCAGAATTTTTATTGTTCTGAGATGTCAGCGTTGCCATAATTGGCGGCCCGCTCAGCGGTGAAGGTTGGCTGACCTTCCGGCTATGACTTGGCCTGGAAGGGTTTGCGTCAGTTCTCGCAATTGCGTTGATTAAAGTCTGAACGTCGGCTTCGTCAGATGGTGGCTCGTCATCGTGATCAGGCACTCCAGATAGTGCTTTCAACCCAGATTCTTTGTATCTCTGTTGGTTTTTCTGAAAAATCGCCTCGTTTGCCAGCTCCTCTCTTGTGTTCGGAACTGGTCTGACGTCGAGATCGCCAAACTTCTGTGCTGGCCAGTCAGGTTTGTTGGACTTATCGACATCGACATAGTCAGGTAGGTGATGATCAGGAAGTGCCAAAGGTACACTCCCGCGGAGAGGCTTCTTATCGTATCTGATAATCTGAAGATTATCAGAAACCGCTGATAAACCAACGGACACTCTCTTCCTCAGAATGTCACCATGTGAATTGAAATCGGCAGGTGCATATTTGCACCTATCACTGGCACCGACCACTCTCATCAGAGCGTAAACTGCCGCATCAAAATAGTACCTGAATCGGGGAAACGACGAAGCATCGTCTGGTTCGGATGTTGGATTGAATATGATGTGGTCTTGAGCCCATTTTGACTCCACTCCATCTCCATCAGCGGGGATCCAATCTCTAGCTTTATCAAGGCATGATGACTGGATATTCCGCGCGATGAGTGTGATGTTTGGGGGTGTATAGGGTCTCTTTGGATCAGATGGAGTGGAGTGGATAAGAGATCCAGATAATAGAGATTGAATCTTCGACAGAGTCGCTGCTGATGAGGATTCACCTTCAGGGTTTGTCTCCACTGGTGCAGACACTGGGTTTTGTGCCTTGGCTGATGCATCAGCTCCACTGGGAGTTGTGAAGACAGATTGCTTGTGTGTTTCAGCAGACCTCAGATGTTTGTTGGAAGATTCTCCTTCAGGTGAATGGATGCGCTTTCCAGCCGCTGGTGTAACAGGAGCGCTGTCAGACATGGCGCCTAAGAATCAAATACGAACGTCAGTAATTATTCACCAAAAGCGAGTGATAGGAACACTTACCGTTTGTCCAACAGCAACCAGAGTTGGTGGGTGGGCGAATCAGAAGAACTTTTCTCTGTGAAACGATGAAAAGTCAGCAATAGATCGAAAGCAAGTATTCTGAGTAGGGAAAACAAAAGACTTACGTTCTGAAGAGGACGTAATCAGAATCAAATTTGATCTTTATCAGAACCTTTGGCTTCGGTCTGGTAAGAAAAAAAAGGTCAGCGATAGATCGAAGGTAATTATTCTTCATGGAGAGGACCAAAGTCTTACTTACTCAGAGTAAGATGAGATCGAATAATCCACGTAAGTGGAAGAGCAATCAGCTCCTTGTACCTCACTACGAGGGTTTGAATTGGCATTTATGATCTTCGGAGATCTGAACCTTTGATCGAGAGTCAGCTCTTTCCCATCAACTTGATCATGCGTCAAAAAGTTGATCGGATTTTGGTTTGCTTTCTTTGTCTTCTCGGGATGCTTACGAATTTGTGGTTCCACCGTTATATATGGTAGCGCGTAGTATGAATTGAGATCTGCCATCTTCAATGATCGATGCTTTAAAATTTGAAGTTGATAATTTTTTGTTGTTGTTGTGTGTGGAAAAATTTCTCCTGGCAATGGCTGAGATAATGAGATTGGAAGAAACTAGTGTGGAATTAAGCGATCTCCAATTGTTGTTAACAATTAGAGCTTTATTATTGATATCTTATTATTAAAAAAAAATTATAGTCTTATTTCTGAATCAATTTAATTTACAAATTGAAGACTATATCTAATCAATCTATTAGGCAGTGATGTAGACAACATTTGCTTGATCAAACAAGCCAACCAGAGTCCCAGACACGATACACTGCTACAATTCGGGAAACTCGTGGACAAGATGGACTGCAGCAGATATTGGTTGAAGCATATGCGTCGATGTCTGAAGCTTTAGATGTATGCAAAAGAATCTCCAGATTCGTTCGTTTTGACGGGAAATAACAGGGAAGCTACGAGGGACTCAAGTGATTCAATGTCAAGAATTGGCAGGAGCCTATCAAAGCATATAGTCTTTCCTATTTCGATCATTGAATGAATTTATTCTATTCACTTAGTAGCTAGCTAATCCACTACAAAAACTAAACCCCAATGTTATCGAAATCAACCTCTGACTTGGTTCTTCATAGAAGCTTTCAGCATCCATGGTTCCCAGCGGAGTATTCCTAATCAATCCATCGAAGTCAAAGCAAGTGCAGAATACTACTGTCTAGTCTTTTACCATCCATAGAAATCATGATCCGAAGATCTAGCAACATATCTTTCGAGACTGAATCTTTCAGATATTTACCGCACTTCATTATCTCCTATCAGATAACCTCTTCCAGGGCACTATCTCCTTCTCCTCCGAGATACTCAGAGCCCGCATACCATTATCAGATTGTATATTAGCCTCTTGTAGCAGAAATTTGTCGAATGCGTTGACTTCTGGCCCAAGAGCTCCATGAATACGTTCTCCTTCAACCAGCATGTGCGGGGTATCTTTATGCCAGCTTGTTCTTACATCTTCTTCAGATCTCTGATTGTTGTCCTCGTCACGGCTCTCAGAAGTAGTTTTGGTGATTGTCGATTCAAGTTGTTCACGTCTCCGTCTGCGGACCTGATGAATATTAGTATCTGTTGAATAGCATCTGAGTGGCGGATATATGCGTAAGCACTCACCTCATCATTTCCTCCCACAAGTGCAGGATCTTTGATGCCGAAACTCTGAACACGAAAGTTCTCTTCAGGGATATATCTTTCAGATTCTTCATCTTCTTCAAGATCTTCGTCATACAAACTATTCCAGTCATTTAGCTCAGGATAGCTCTCTTCTCGACGATTATTTGAATGGTTTTGTGATTTTGTGCGAGGAGTAGGTCCCAGGTGATCATCAGCACTTCTATCTCTTCTTTCGTGTTGTGCCGAAGAGGTTAGAGACTGTATGTCAGATTCAACTCTTTTTTTTTTGTCTACGGTCAGACAAGGAACTCGGAGGCTCGTATTGATAATCAGAATCTATCTTTCCTCTGGTTTGTGATAGAGAACTCAGAGTCTCATGTCGGTATTTAGAATTTCCTTTTCTTCTGCCTTGTGCCGAATCTTTCATCATGACCTCAAGCTGATCATCCTCCTCCTCTACATCAGAATCTCCCCATCCTGTTCCACGTTCAGGTCCTCTCTGGTATTGTACTGGGGAGTCATATAATCGTGTGGGAGTCATGGGATAAGTCGAAACCTCCTCTCCTTCGAGTCTATAGTTTTCTGTTCCTCTTCTACTCTCTGCGGAAACCCCAAATCTATTGACAGTTATCGGCCCAGCTTCGAATCCTTTCTTTTCTCTTATTTGTGCCGAGTGTTCAGATGATCGTGTTCTCGTTGTTTCAGGGAGGGCTTTCCCTCTTCTCGGTCCTGCTCCAGGGCTTCTTTTTTTACGGGATATTCATCGTCAGAGGAAATGACAATCACTTCAGCCAAGACGGGAGGATTCTGTTTGGATAATGGACGACCACTAGAAGGACCTCCTTGAGGGGAAGGAGGCTTCATCATCCTGTTCCGAGCTCCGGCCTTACGCCGACCTCTTCCCTGGCGTACCGATAAGTTATCAGAAGCCTTGTTCAGGGTTGCGGGGCTGAGCTGGTGATCAGAACCTTCACTCTCGCTTTGGTGTTGTGCCGAATAGTTTGATGACTGATACTGAGCTACAGAGTCCGGCCGGTGTTCAGAATTTTCTTCGTCTCTATTTCCTTGGTGCTTTCTTGAACGATTATATGGTCCATTTGGAGCTTTGGATCTGGGTTGATACTCAGAATCTTCGCTGTCACTTTGGTAATGATTCTGAGCTACAGGCTCACGCCGTCCATCTCGTCTATGTTGTGCTGGCTGCCCAGGTGGTGGATTTTCAGCCATAGGCTCAGATTGACGCTCGAGATTTTCAAAATCCTCTTGACCTTGGATCGGGGATTCGTCGTCAGAAGTCATATCAGGAGATTCGAGATCATTTGGCTCTTCAGGCATTTGTGCATCATCAGCAATTCTGTCCGCAGGTCGACGAAATGCATTCACCAAGGCTCTCTTTTTTAATTGTAAAATTGCCCCATTCTCGGATGCCGGTATACGTTCGGTCCTCCGAGCTGAATATTCAGCAACGGTTTTCAATCTATGTTCAGGGTTCTCCTTAACATATACATCCCATGAGTTTATGATGATATCGAAATCCAAAGGAGAAATTCCTAAAGCTACGGTCGATTCCCTGGGATTCTGTTCAGCGCATCTCTTGATGTTTTTAGTGAAGTCAGAGTGTAATGGCAGATTCCTTGGAGGTTCAGGTAATGGAGGCATATGATTTTCCAGATATTGTCGCACGCGTGTATTGTTCGGAGTCATACTCGAATGAGGCAGTCGATGAAATCTGGCCAATAACATTGAGTAATGTAATAAGTTCAAACCAGGATGACCACTAAAAATTGGGCATTTTGGTATCTTTGTCAATCTCCGAGCAGGAAGTATGGCCCAAACAGGAACATTGTCAGTTCCACGATCAGATAGAAAAGATGCTGTTGTGTTTGGGGGGATAATATCTGTGGCATCAATTCCATATAACTCCTTTACTTCCTCCAGATTCGGATTTCCCATGATGATGTTTCAGCAAGAGCTCTATCATCTTCGTCGGACCAATTGATCGGCACTCGCTTTGGGACAGGTAATTGAATCTCTTCATTTTCAGAGTAATCTCTATGGTGTCTCAAATTTGACATACTGGTTGAGGTATGTGCAGTTCTGAAGTAAAAGTTGCAAAGTTTTATGCTTTGATGTTTGTGTTCTGCTCAGAATTTGTGGTTATCTCGAAGTCTCGCATGGTCTCCGCGCAACGAATCATGGTCACATGATAGCTACACTAGCTCAAATATCATCTCACTTTCATATTACCTAATAATTCTCTGTTGTGACCATTGCCATACGTGATTAGAATACACGGATGTGTAGTTTACGATTTGGCACTTGTATCCCGATTGGGGATTGGGTTTATTAGAGTGGAGTCTCCGAATCTCAGGAGCTGAAGGGCTTATACCCACCATAAAAGTATGGTGTAATGCATTATGTGCCCTTTTCTATGAGTCTACATGAACATGTGTAATTTTAGGTGTTTATGGAGTGGTATTCTCGTATTATTCTGCCTTTTAAGCTGTGAAGCTACGGCGCAAATGTCAAGTCAAATCTCATACCAGAACTGCCAGATTGACTTTTTCGTCTCTTTCTTCCCCAAAGCCTGGATTTTGGTTTGGACTGAAGACATATCGAATAACTGTTTACCTTGTAGTTTTGTGAATTGACAGTTCTGCTTCAACATCGCACAATTGTAGTCCTCAAACTTCTCTGTCAATCTGCGGGTATAATTGAGGGCACTAGGATCATACTACTCATTTATCATTTCGACTACTTTATATGCAGTGACGTCCATTTTTACCGTTCTTCCAGATCCCAACCATGTGATGATTGTGATTTCCTTGAGTTTCTTAGGAATCCTACACATTGAGGTTTGAGGATCATTCCAATGACAGCCTGTCAAATCCAGAGCAACGTAACATTTTAAAGCATTCTAGAGAGGGAATCACAATGAAAATAATATACGTTTGAAGAAGGTAGTATTGTGGTGCTTTTTCTTTTACTTCATACCCACAGCAATGTTGATATGCCACTGAAATTCAGAGTATGAACCAGAAATGCTTCATCCCTCGCAACACCATTCAGAGATCAGACTTTGGGACAGATACCAAAATCTCGTCTTAACACCATCAAGAGTTCATCTCCCGATAATTCTTCAGAGTAATTCACAACCATCCACTATATAAATGGTTAGTGTCATGTTTGAGTGAAGGGATCCAGCAATGAAACTTACACTCAAAGTCTTCTGGTGAAGCCAATCAGGTTTTTCGAGAGGATTCTTGATCAGAGGGTGTTCCTATGAGTTGTCAGTATAATTTGAAAAAAATTGAAAAAACAACTGCAAGATAAGAACATACCAATCTCTTCTCTTCAGCTGCCTCCTCTTCCTCGGCCCGCTGTCTCTTCTCAGTTTCTTCAAATGTCTTCTTGACTTCAGCTGCCTATAAGATGTCAGTATAATTCGAAAAGAATGAAAAAACAAGTACAAGATGATAACGTACCAATTGCTCGGCCTTTGCCTTCTCCTCAGCCTCTTTGATCTTTCGATCTTCTTCCCCAGCAAGGCGGTGGTATTCAGCGTCATCCTCTTCTTGTTTAGATCTTGACACGATGGGAGCGGGCAACTTGAATGCTACAGAATGCGGGTATTCAGAAGACACGAAAGAGTCCCACATCTTGACAAGGTCAGGACATCCAAATTGACCAAATTTGGATTGACTGACGACGATCTTGTACCTGCTCAGGAAGTTCAAAATGTATGCAACATCCATCAGAACATTATCCTTGCGATAATCAGAGGGGTTTCTGATGTTCAGATAAATGCAGACCATGGATGCATTCTCTCCATCTCTTCGATCAGGTCTTTCAACGGTGACGTTGATTCGAGACCCGACCCTCTTCTGGAAACTGGTCATTGTGCGGAAGTTGGTGCCAGTGGTCAGGAGGAATGCTCGGCGGTGATGGATCAGACGCCCAAAGAATGGGATGGGGATTCCATCCTCCATCTTCCAACCATGAAGGCTGGTTTTCAGAAGCTTTGCCCACGGCAAGTCTAAAGTTTCCTTCCCTTGAAACATAGCACGGTTGCCCATGCTCTTCCAGGTGACGATATCTTGTGTAGAAACGGGCTTCCACTTGGACTTTTGTTCAGGATTTTGTATCGCTGTTGGAGTGACGACATACGGCCGAACGCCAGGGAAATCAGCTCTCTGATTGAAAACCATGTCTGTAATCCATTGTTAATAAGATATTTTCCTCATCTCAGAATCTCACTTACTGATCGTTACCCAAGCATGTCGCTCAGTTTCGAACTTCACAATCTCAGGATCAGAATTTGGCGTTGCCGTATTGTTGATGTATAAAACCACCATATCATTGACAGCTTTGAGGCTTTGATCCAGAGATAACGGAGATCTATCAGTGGTGTCGTGTGTCAGCCAGTTGGGGGTCTTATTTTTTTGCTTTTGTATCCAGAAGATACTTTCGGATTTTTGGCGCGACTGAGACGTATAATAGTGCATAAGCACGTTTGATGTCTGACATCTTGTTGATTCTGATGTATGATTGTTCGTGGTTGTATGTGGGTAAAAGTCAAGTAGCAACCGCTGAAGAATTAATAAGATCAAAATGGTTTAGTGCGAAATTAAGCGATTGCCAAAATAACACTAACATGCCCTAGTCTTTCAGCTTCAGCCGATGGTCCTATTATCAGCGCCTCAGTTGTAAAATAAACCTCGAAACCTTTACTTTGCATTATTAAAACAACGGAAAAGATGGCAAATCGAGTCAACAACATGAGAAGAAGAACACAATTGCTTGAACAAGCAAGCAACCAAGAAGAAGCCAGTGAGTAATTTTTCATCCTTAACCTTGACTGTTGTTCGCATTTTTTAACCTTAACTTCAGAAAAATCGACAATGGCGAGCGAGAAGAACGCCTGGTTCTCTGGGACAGAGGGTGAGCAAGCCTATATGCATATAGAACATGAATATTAATCTTCATATCAGCTCTGAGAGAAGAAGAGAGAAAGAGAGAAGATCTGATTCTGCAGGGAGGATTGGGAGCGCAGAAGCCCAAGGGAGCAAGTAAGTCATTGGATTCTACTCATCTTTGAGATACTAATGATGCAATTTTAGAAGCTGAAGCTGCTGAAAACCGGTCCAAGGTAAAGACTTTGGACCAGTTTATTGAGGAAGCTGCAAACAGACATAGAGGTGAATTCACTCTGAAGATTCGAATTTACACCATTGGTATCCATACTAACTCTGCGTTCCAGCTGCCAGAGATAATCTGAAGAATGTCACTGTCCCAGCCGAAGTCCTCAACACACCTGATCGACCAAACACAAGCAGTGGTCTCCCCAAACCATCTGATCAACAAAAGACACGCCGTGGTCCAGCTCCCGCGCTACCTCAAAAGACCATGGGAGCTGAAGTGGTTCAGAGCGCTGATCAGCTTCCATCTTTTCCGTTCGATAATTCTCCACGTTTTGGAGCTTCGCAATCAGACCAGCGCAGTGAATCAGACACCCCTCAAGTTGAATGCGAAGCTGAATTTAATACACAAGTCGGATTTGACGGCCAGGTTCGGCATTACCTGTCTGAATTTGATGATACTTTACGCCAAGATTCTACATTTATGTGGATTCCTGAAGAGCCAAGCCAGAAAACTATAGTTGATTTCAAACTTGGGATTGCACCACAGATTTACGGGTTTTTGATATCTTCCCAGGTCGATCTTAAGAAATTTCCAAGTCAGCTTCGAGTCATCGCTCAAAACGGAGTTCGTGATCTGAAGAATAGGAATGAATGGATTTCGGTCAAGATGATGGCCTGTTTGTGGAACAAGCTATATCTGAACAGTAAGTTCAACGGTGTATCAGCCGATATTCATCAATACAAACTGGAACTCCAGATGTGGACTACTTATGGTAAGTCTCTTTCTGCCCATTCATGATCTTGATACTGATACGTTTTTGATTTATAGTAAATCCAGATCCAGAATCTTTCAGAGGTATCAATCCGAAAGGAAAGTCTGACTTGTGTCATAAGTGTTCTGAAGCTGGTCACGCTTGGGACTTTTGCACTCAAACTTGTCGATGGTGTCATTGGTGCTCTGATTTTTATTGATTTGAAAGGTCGCTCTGAAGGGCTCATGTATGTTAGATTTTAATCTTAATCCATACATCCCAAGCAAATTTGATATTACTCACTCCAAATTTGGTCGGGTATCCAACAAGAGTGAAGTGAAGTCTGAAATTAGTGAATGTTGAGATGTCGTCAAGATTAGCTTAGTAATCCATGCATTTACACTAGAATGTGGATCCATTCATAATCGCACACCTCACATGCCAAAATTGTTCCGGGTAAAGCTAATAAGGTTAATGCACACCCAGCAGAAATAATTACACACCATTGAATATTCCCATCACCTTTTATTTGCATTTCTTCTTCCATGAGCTATCAGACGCAATAGAAACTAATCGCCACGTCGCTTTAACCTTTCAAAGGACAATGACAAGCGAAGGACAATGACAAGCGAGGGCCAACGTGGCACAATATTCCCTAGATATTGGAGCATTAATATTTGAGATGTGTGAGTTGAAGTGATCCGATACAATCACCTGCTTTTTACACTAACAGTCGGTCCAGTTGCCCTAGAGTCGAGCATATCATGTTTATCGACCGAAAGTATTGCTGATTGCATCTGTCAGATTAAGAAGCTGTGGGACGTTGCAATATAATATCTTTCTGTGCTAGCAATGTAACTATCCAGTGCTGGCAGTTCCAAATATTGTGAAAACCCAACGGCTGGTTCCCCAAAAAGAAATCGGACCGATGTACTCTGTAACCCAGTGGCTACCAATACCCCAACTCTTGAAATTCGAGAATTTGAGAGACAACATTATGCAGTCATGCAAGAGTCTTACGACTGATGTCTTTTGTGTGTGTATATTTTGTGATAAGTCATTGGTCACCAGCAAGATACCAACAAAAATTCCGTCTTTTCCGATACGAGATAATCGATATAGAAACGACGGACCCCGCTCTCTCAAAATCGAGACGGGCTATTGGGAATATCTTCTCGATCATCGCAATCATGACGTCTATTTTTAGCAGTATGCTAGCTTTGTTACCTTCAATGGTACCCTTCGCATCATATGAAGCAATGCCAACACCAATAATTCCCTCTACATGCCGCTGCTTTCCAGGAGATAAATGCTATCAGCGATTGGGACAGTTTCAATCAAAAATAGGCGGAAAACTAATTGCTCCCGTCCCCATCGCGGCCGTCTGTCACAACGATCAGTTTGCAACCTATAATGCAATAGTATGTGCTACGTTGAAAGAAAACTGGTTTCTCCCAGAAACCCACCTTTCTTCCTCTTCCTGTTGCTCTGCTATGGCTTGGATGTTCGCAGATAACGCGTGCAATCCCTTTCTTTCGAACACTACATTGTGTGCATTAGGTAACTATGTTAGCTATACAGTCAATGCAACTACCGCGGACGATGTTAAAGAAGCAGTCAAATTTGCCAATCTTTTTAATGTTCGTCCGGTGATTCGCGCCACCGGCTATGACTATAATGGCAAATCCACTGGGGCTGGTGCTCTTGCCGTTTGGACATATCATCTCACATCCATATCTCTCACCGACTCGTACGAGTCTGCAGCATATACAGGAAAGGCAGCAGTAGTCGGATCAGGGGTCTCATCTCAACAAGCCTATGAATTTGCCGATGCAAACAACGGCATCATTATTACGGTAAATTATCCTACTGTCGCACCGGCTGGCTGATATGGGCAAGGAGGCGGACACGGACCGCTTGCTACAGAGTTCGGATTGGCAGTTGACCAGGTCTTGGAATGGCAAGTTGTGACTGGGGTAGGAACACTCGTTACAGCTACTTCTACTCAAAATCCAGATCTCTTCTGGGCCCTATCTGGAGGTGGTGGAGGAACATACGACATTGTTCTATATCCGCAACTGTCGCATTCCATCCCACAGTCACTTCAATATCCTCCGCGACTTTGCAATTTGCGCCCCCAGCCATGACAGAAGGCTTTACCGCATATTGGCAGACTATCAAAATATTCCTGCAATCATTGCCACGGATGGTCGACAGCGGCTTACAAATCGTCTGGATCATTGGCCCCGGTTTTTTCCTCATCTCTCCAGTCACAGGTCTTGACGTCGTGCAAGATACAATCGATAGCGTCTTTTCGCCCGTCCTTTCCACACTCGACAATTCGAGATCCCTTACGCTTACGCATCCCCAGCATCCTCCTCATTCCTAGAATACTACAATTCCGCCGCCTTCGGCGCCAACGTCTTCAACGCCAACACAGCAGGCCGTTTACTCCCGCGATTAGTCGTGCAAAACGATACCGAAAATTTCGTATCCATTCTCCAAGTCATCGACAACAACGGCTACCTAATAGCCGGCGTAACCCTCGAAGTAAACAAACCGTCGTTCCCAACGCCCCCGAAATATCCTTCAACACCTACTGGAGAAAACGCTCATGAATGCGGTCTTTGGCACTTACCTCAAGTACACCGATTTCTCAGCCAATTTTCAGAGTCAGAATTTCTTGACTAATACTATCAGTCCTGCACTTGCGGCGTTGACCCGGCTTGTAAGTACAATCGCATAAATATGCATGGGTTTTTATACGCTACTTAGCATTAATCTTCGGAAAACTGTTCTGTCCATGTTTGATATGAGTCATGATCAAGCACGACCCCTATGGAAAGCACCATCGATTATTTTTGGCGGGGTATATCACCCCCACTAATCTCATTTTCATTCTTGAAACCCACGGGATATACGAGTATTGTAGATACTTCAAATCAGGTATGTACCATTAGTCTCATTAAGAATATACAAAAAATTGCAACAGCAATAGCAACGAAAAGAAAAGAAAGCTAAGCCATCTGGAGGCATGCCCCCTTCTAATAAACAACAAACCAACCTAAATAATTACATATTAACCATCCACACCCTAAGTACTAATGACCCTTAGCTTGCGGGGTCTCCATTTTCTTTCCCGTCGTCTTCGTATTATCACTCTTCGAATCCTTCTTGAAAAGTGCTCCCAAAGCCCCCAACTTTTCCTTGAAGCTCTTCCCGCTACTCTTTCTAACTCTAATCAAATAATACAACAAAACCGCCATGAAAATATTAAAAACAATGTATGCGAAAACAATACCATAGTCTCTCCATCGAGTACTATAGCTAATCGCTACCGACGAGAGAAATTGATCCGCGTTGGATGAAGAACAATATTGACAATCTGCTGTAGCTTCGGGGTTATAGATGGAACCTCCAGCTGCGGTGGCATATGACTGGAGGTAGCTACCACAAGTATCGCCAGCGGGTGGTTGCATGACTGCAAGTTCATTGTCGGAACAGGTTACTTGACGGCCGGAGAGACCAGTAGACGCGATAGCTGAAACGAGATCTGAAAGACGTTAGAATTGATGATTACTAGTAGCGGAAAGAAGAACTTACAAGTCAAAGGCGAAACACGGTACATAAAGATCCAAAATCCAGGAAGAGCTTGTGGGGGTTGAAAGACTCCATTAAAGGTCAGGGTAAGTGAGAACATCAATGTTGCGATATTACCAGCAGTTTCAGCATCCGGAAGAGCGGAAATAAGCATGTGTGCGAATGTGCTAGCGAAGACGAAAAATTGAATAAGAAGAAGGAGAATAAGACCTTGTCGACCTGATGGTGGAATACCATTGTTGGTATAAATTGGATAAAAGTAGGACGCAAATACCATGATACCAAGGAGAATTTGATATGGAATTTCGACGGCGATATTAGCGATGATGAAAGCTTTCCAGCTGTATGCTTTTGATGGTCTTTCCCGAACCTCATAAAGATCTCTTTGTAGAATGAATCTGGGCATAATCTGTTGTACGAGAGTGGTGAAGATAGTTGTTATCATGAAGATGGAGAAGATAACATCTTGAAGACCTTGTTGAGATGCATCGGCGTGGAAGAATGAAAATCCAATGAAGAGAGCAGATGCCACACCAAGAACAAGTTTGGAGTATACATAACCCGGTGTACGCCAGTATTGTTGAAATACACGCTTCATGACCTCAAGAAGTTGGATAGTAAATGGCATGGCAAATTCGCCATGGGAATTACTATCATCTTGAGATGATTGATGGCCCATTTCTTGTTGAATGCGTGAGATTTCTCTTTGGATATCTTTGGCTTCATCACTTTCCTTCCATACTTGATGCCTATATTGAATTAGTCTCTGTGATGTCAGGGAACGAGAATCAATCTTACCAATCTTGAGTAGACTTTCCTTGTGCACCAGCACCAACCATTGTCAGCATATACTCTGCTGGATTCTCATCCTCTCCACATTTGGCCGCACCATGAGATTCAAAATATTTGAGTAGAGTCTCCGAATTATGACCAATATCTCCAAAATATACAGTTCTTCCACCTTTTGCTAAAAATAGTAATCGGTCGAATTCTTGGAACAGAATAGCACTAGGTTGATGTATAGTAGCCAAGACCGCCTGACCATTATCGGCCAACTTTCTCAAAAACGAAACAATTGCCCATGAAGATTGTGAATCCAAACCGGAAGTAGGTTCATCCAAGAAGAGTAAGAGTGCAGGTTTAGCAGCCAATTCGACACCAATGGTCAATAACTTTCGTTGCTCCACATTCAATCCCTCACCTGGAACACCAACTACTGCTTCCGAGAACTCTTCCATGTTCAACATCTTGATAACATCTTCCACGAAATCATACTTTTCTTTTTTAGAAACAGATTTTGGTTGACGTAGCATAGCAGAAAATCGAAGAGCTTCTCTAACAGTTGTGGTTTCAAGATGTAAATCTTGTTGTTGAACGTATCCGGTCTTTCGTTGAAAGGATGCGTCGAGGGGTTTGCCGCTAACCAACATATCACCTGTGATTACACCCATAGAGACTCTTTGGGCAAGAACATCAAGTAAAGTTGTTTTTCCTGCACCAGAAACACCCATCAAGGCTGTTAGGGTACCAGGCTTGACCCATCCGGATACATTATCAAGAAGTCTGCGAGGTTCATTCTTGATCTTAATATCATAACAAACATCTTTCCATGTAAATACGTCTGTTTGAGGGGGCAATGCTTGAACTTCTTCTCCTTGTTTATCCAAATTGCCTTCCTTGACAGCAGAACCATTCCCGACATGTGCTTCTTCGTCGTTCTTTGCAGCTTTCTCGGCGGCCAACAAGTTCGTTGGTACATGTCCACGACGAAAGACTAAGACTTCGGCTTTACTGTCTGTGGATGCATTGAACTCTGTTGCAAGGAGGTAGAAAGCCAAAAAGAAAATCATGAACGCAAACAAGAATCCTAAATTACGCCAGATGTGGGAGTAAGAGTATTGAAATTGTGCTTGCAAGTAATCATCACCACTAACAGTAGTCGAGCCAACAACAGAGCCTGCAACAGCGCAAACAAAGTTGGTACCAGTTTGAACATAGCCAGGACCTGTTGGTACTAAAGTCGAACAAACAAACTTTTTTCCGTGTAGTTCATTGACGAATAAAGCTTCAAATGCATATGCAACTGGATTTATCCATGAAATCCATTTGAACCAGGGATGCATTAGTGGTCTAGGAATAACGAAACCGGTATAAATGACAATCGCAAGTGTGGCCACACCAGCTATGGCTAATGCTTGGGATATGGTTTTCGTCGCTGCTGCAATACTGCGATATATTTGACTCATCTAAAGTGTTTATTAGTATCGTGAAATGACTGTAGCGTTAGAGGAATTCTTACCGTCAGAATCGCGACAAAGTTGAAGAGAAAGAAGACAAAGAATGCACCTGCTTCTCTTTTCAGACCAGAGAGAAAATATAGAATGATGTTGAAACACGTAGCGATGGCGAATTTTACCGGTATGTCAACGACAACACCAGCCAAAGCTTCAGTGAAAGGATGATAAAATGCGTAAGATGCTTGCTTCTCTACGATCGGTCGTTGAGAGTATAGAGTATTAATTTCCGAAATGGCGATGAGAGCATTGAGCAATACCGCGAAGAAAAGTACACCTCCTTTTTGAAAGAAACTTGCTGTATTATCCGGGGTATTGTAAAAGATAGATCCGATGATCAAAGCCATAGCAATCTGTCCTATTATTGTAGTAATGGTGGATGTTTTGTCGTTCCATAACCGTTGAACTGCTCGCTTTGCACAAAGTTTTGTCTGCATGACAACGCTGACTGTATATGGTGACTCTGGCCGTAAATGGTCTGCTTGCATACCCTTTCGACTTGCTTTGAATTGTTCCAATGTTTTGCCGCCCATTGGGAATTCCTCTTCGTGTGATTTCATCTCATTCATCATTCTCTGAAAGATCTTTGAATCTTTGAAGTATTTCTCAAATTCTTCAGGAGTTCTAGGAACCTTCTTCTCAAAGCCGGGTCTCACTTTTCGTTCTGAGGGATTGGTGATCGAAGTCAAAAAGTCACCTGTGGTTTGACGGCTACATTCAGTCAGTATTGTCCAAATAATTGCATGTAATCATGGCATTTTGTTGTGTGCACTTACCTTGGGCACTCCCAGCCCATATCCACGAAATACTGCTTCGCTTGGTCACAAGGACCATAATAGATCTGACGGCCTTCATAAAGCACAATAGCTTTATCAAACTGATCATAAATCTGTTGACTAGCTTGATAAATGGCAACTAAATGACATGAACCACACAGATTGGCAGTCATTCGCAATGATTTTGTAAACTATTTCTCGAGTCAGTGATTTGCTAGTGATTGCTATGGTGAATGTTTACTCACCTCCAGAGCAGTTGCAGCATCTAAACCACGTGTAGCATTATCCCATGAAGCAATTGGTGAACCAGCCAATGCCATCTCAGCAATACTAACACGTTTCCTCTCACCTCCAGATACACCTCGTACAAAATCATTACCGACTTTGGTGTTGTACGTGTGAGATAATCCATAAATAGCCATGACGACCTTAGTCATATGCTTTGCCCAGGCTGAACGAGTTGTTCCCTCAACAAGTCTTTGTTGAGGCGTTCGAACACTCGCAGCGAATTCTAAAGTCTCTCCAACAGTCAAATGAGGGAAATGCTTATCAACTTCTTGATTGTATACAATTTCACCTCGAAATTGTTTGAGCATTTGCTTTTGTGTAATACCTATGATCATTAGCATCATCACTATTCAATGGGTGTATGAATATAACAAACCATTATAATGAATTTCCGATTGTGACTTCATGTCCAATCCGTAAAGTTCCCCCATTAAAGATTTAAGAAACGTGGAGCAACCGGACCCAGGTCTTCCGAGAACAATCAACATCTCTCCTGATTTCAAAACGCCATTAAAATCATTGAGGATGGTCTTCTCCGAACCTTTCCCGACAAATTCTCTGAATCGTAGAGGTGCCATCAACAGAGAGCCGACATTCTTTTGTATGTTTATTGCTGATCCGGAGCCACACACTTTTAGATTCTTGAATACAATTCCAGCACGTCTTTGTATGACTTGATTCTCATCAACCAGCCTCATCATCCTGGAAAGTACACAATTAGTCCGTGTCCAAACAATTAATTGATCATGCCAAAACTTACATCTTAGCCCATTTATATACGTCAAAATCTGGGGAGTTGGGGTCCAACGTGGAATCTCCCAACTTGACCCCATACAGGGTATCTTTTTTCTCCAATTCATGTGTTCCATTTGTAGCATTAGTCAAAGTTCTTCCAAGCTGAGACCCCCCGAAACCTGAAGCTATTCTCTGTAATTGTTCTCGGTCTCCTGCCCTTATTGATTCGAATTGTCTTTCTCGAGCAGTTTCGTTGGTTTCAACGGGCTCCAATGTGGTATCTGGATCTAGAGAGTCATCGCTGCTTGATGATATCGTTCCTTCAACATCGTTCTCGTAATTTTCCGACTGAGGATTCAGAATATTGTCTGATCTTTCGGGGAAATAATCATGACGCTCATGATTCGAAGCGGAAGCCATAATTAATTGGCACACTCGTCCTGTGGTTCAAGCTCAATTGTCGAATGTGGATGTGGGGTATAGCCAATGTCGTCACTGATAATTATTACTGATAAGGATAGAATTGTAGGATATTAATAAAAGTATCGACGGTGGGCATAAAAGTTAAGACAAAGAGAAACCGTGAGCTGAATGTTCCTTTGGTCTTCCAAAATTTTGATGAAGAGATAGGAACAAGAATGCAGTCGAAATTAAGTTCAGATCAAACGCTTTCTTCAATGTGTATGGAGTGGGTGGGAGCTATGTCTCTTGTATAAATAAATAAAATCCAGCCAACTCCAAAGCTGACCATTCAACTACCGTCAAATGGGTAAGTGGCTTACTCAATTGGTCCCAATATGACGGAGAACACACAAAGGGGCTCACAGATTATACATTCTCGACATTATATCATACAGAATGTCGACCCGAGCGAGATACGAGATACGAGATACCGGTATTTAGGTACCCAGATATTAGTACGGATACTCTAAAGCAGTGGGGGTGCTTCGCCCAATTAATGGACATTCGAATGATGAAGAGCAAGTGTTGTCGATCCTTCTGGGTAATTCCTGTCAGAAATCCTTGACAGGAGATCGGAAAGACATATGAACATGCGAATTAGTGTGTGTGATGATAGTGATAAACGACTAGAAGATGCGAAATCCAGGAATCTTGCAAGCTTGACGACTGTATAGAAACTTTGGAAGATAAAAAGGTATCTAGGGAGGTAGCTCTTCTTCGCCCCCAATACATTCGATTCTTGACAAGTATTACATGGGTATCATCTTCTCCCCAAAAGTATAAGTTAGATAACTACCAGTATTTACTTTTAATTATGGAGAATGATTTCGTGATTCCCAGTTTATTCAGCTCGCCGTGCCGGATAATAATATTTGACAATACTTGACGGAACCATAGTCAGTGATCTAACTCCATGCCAGATGAATTCGAACCGTGCGTATAAAAGCTAAAGAAAAAGGAGTCAACTTTTGAACATAACTCCGCCGTTCTGGCGGGTTAACAGAAGAGATGATGAAGATTTCTTGGGAGTGTGTAATTGGGAGCACATCTTACATCTATCTACTAGGTATCTACTAGATAAATATATCTACATAATTATTGATAATGAAGTTGATTTATTTATGGTTACTAGTAATTCAAGTGTGAAATAATAGAAAAGAAGGAAGAAAGCAAAAGTTGTAAAATGTCAATAAACAGCCCTGCCCCGTCAGCCTACCCCTTCATGGAATCTCGTTTGTTTCCGCGCCTCAATTGATCTACACATGGATTACTAATGAAGTATACCTAGTCAGCATTATGACGAAACGTCCAAACTCTATCTTCATAATAATCCTTTTCATAAATCTTTTCTTTCCTCCGGGTTAATGTCCGATCCTCCGTCTTCTATATCTTACCTCCGTTCTGATATCGGATGTGAATGCATCTTATCTATCCGGACCACTCTATTTGAAAATCATTGATCCGGAACCAAGAAGCCTTGAATTCTTGCAATTTTATGCATCCATCATAACACTTATGCATGAGCATGACGTTGCCGGTACACGGATGATGCCTAGGTATGGAAGCTCGAGGGAAGCAATCCAATAGGGCTGACAACATGCAAGTTACACAATTGCGCCTGGATGAAGCAGCCAAGGATGATTAATCGCCCATTAGCCAATATAGAAGAAGATTCCATTCGTTCGTGTCGGAAGGAATCTATCCCTCCGCGCCGAGCCTTCAGCCAGGTCGAGATTATTTTTCTATTTAACAATGATCAGCCACTTACATCCGCCTAGACGCTATCGGTATATACTGACTACTTCGTTCGATCAATTCGCATTCTAAAAGTTCCTTCTATGTACTCTCTCCTCTTCTTCATGCTTTGTAACAGCGATTGATCAATTGAGATTGGAGGCGTTTGTTACCGGGCGATCCGAGTTCATTCATCGAGGCTCTAAACCAAATCAGTTGAGTCCGATAAGCTACACATGGTATTGACATACTTGAGAAGATTTCTCTCATGATATGGCGCGATCATATCTCTACCCATATCTCAATGATCACTCTTTGCTTCGTTTTCTCATCGTTAGTTGCGACAAGAAACATCAGTATCACGTGATCATATCATCATCTGACTCGTGCACCTTCCCGTCACTTGACTTTAACACCTGAGAGCACTTTGGTAAGATGACTATTCCCGTCTACAACACAGTGGAGTATGAGGGAGATGAGGATCAAAACAAAAAGCAAACAAACGGGTCAACACACTCGCAATTTCAATGCTATAATTGCTTTTGAAATGAGAATTTCTTTGCATTGTGTTTCGAAGCAAGGATTTCCCTTTCAAACATGAGCGCCGTGTTCACTATGCATCATGTGCTCGTACAACAGCATGAAACTGCATTTTATCAATTCTGTATCAAAATCAAACACATTCAAAGCGAAATGTTACATTCTTTCTTTCTCGAACGTTTTTGCTTCTTTTCCATATTTCCATCTCTGTCGAGTGAATAGAGATTCAAAAGATGGTCAACCACATATATTATGAACTCCCAGCGGATCCCATAGAAAATACTCCTAGGCCTCTTACTTCATCACAACCACAAATACAACCACAATCGCAACAACCACCTTCATTGCCTCCCCGAAGTTCTTCGGCTTCATCACCTGACGATAATGCGACGATTCGAGGTGTTCCTGGAGATGACCCATCTGCTATACCTCTACCACTCTTTACACGTCGATCAAATTCGAATCTCTTGAATCAAACTTCAGCAAACTCTACCCACAATATCACATCAACACCTTCTCCGAATAGACCTCCTATACCCACTGTTGAGTCATACGAAACCAGCTCTTCCGAGAACCCATCACCTCTCCCGCGTGACAGATCAGATTCCAGTATCCACACCGGTCCAGCTCTTCCACCCCGAAGAATCTCTCAACACAACCCAAATGAAGTTTACTATACCCGAGAATCTCATAGAGTGGTCGCATATCTTATACCTCTCCCTAAACCAATCGATGTTTCTGATGCAGAATTTCCTCAGGTTGAACCTTCCTACCATCTTATTTTGGGATTTCACTAATAGTCAATTAGCGCTACCTAGTATATACACCACCAGCTGCTCATCTTCTTAAACCAGCTGAAGGCATTAAAGAGGGTAAACGACATAAGGGAAAACGAGTCTGGCAGCGTGAGGTGTGTGTTCTTTTTTTGCGAAATGTGGAATCCAATCACATGATTCACAGCTGACCATCCTTTCACCATAGGTCAAGAAAGCCAAGACTTATGATGGTAAAACTATGAGTCTCAAAGGACTTCATAGTAAAACCACCAGAGGAGTAGTCTGGGGAATCAATTCCATCAAAAATACAGACATCACGTTTCTCAACCGAGTGCCAAGAAAAGGTATTTCTTCCCCTCATCCATTTCTCGCCAAAATCAAACTAATTCCCGACCCTTTCATTAGAAATCGAAGAACTTCATCTGATATACCCACCCACCATACCTTATTCACCTATCGACCTCCGCAACCAATTCCTTTCCCAACTAACCCGCACTAAAGCCCGTGCTAAAAAACATGCTGCAATCTCTACTCTTCTCCTCCTCCCCACCCTTTTAATAGACACATTTGCCGCCGTCATCTGGCCTTTCGGTGGTCTCTTCGAAGTAGACGCCGTATGGACTTTCACCTCCGTTCGCGGCTATCTCGTCTCTCGCTCCGTAACCAAAAGATTATCCTCCCAGGACACAATTCATGATCACGAACAAATGCGCATCCAAGATCGAGAATTGTACCTCCGCTTTCATAAATCTGAACAATTGAGAATCTTAGAGAGATATGTCAAAGAATTATGTCATAAGCAGAATCCGAAGAGATTTGCAAGTGCGGGGGTGCCACCGACAGAAACGGAGGTTTTGAAAGCGATGGGATGGGAACCGGATATGAGAGGGAGGGTTAAGAGTGGGGAGAGAGGGGGGATGCCAGAGGGCGGGATGAGGGACTGGGATGATGAGAGGTGGCAGGAACGAGAAGCAAAAGATGATTTACTTGGGGTTTTGGGGAAGGGCGCAAAGAGTTGGGATAAATGGTGTAAGAAGTGGGAGAAAAATCCAAAGAAGGCGGAGAAGAAGTGAAGGGATGGGAGTTGTGAAGTGTAATTGAATGTATGATTTAGCGTAATGTAATATATGAATTTATGTAATTTGACGATTCATATGAAGGACGTTGTTGAATCTCATCGTAATCGCTACAAAAGTAAACCCCTAAGATTCTCAGGTCATTAAAGTAATCTGAAAGTCGTGTATCGCAGGCGAGAGAGGAGTAAGCAGATGAGATGCATCTTTAGGACCTGAGTTAGAATCTACTTTGTAGATTTTCGAAAATTAAATGGCTGCTTGGACGCACCATTCTTTGCTACATACAGTGGGCACTACTACCCAGAAAATGTCAGCTTTGTAATTCTTCATTTGTCCTTTTTCGTCATCAACATTGAGTCCGAAACTTAAATCAGAATCGGATCTGACATGTCGGAGCTCAGGATTTTGGATGATCTGATTTGAATCAAGCGTGTTTGAGTTGGAGTAGTAGTGTTGTAGTGTGGTGGTAAAAATGTTGCTCGAAATTCTCTGACATTGTCGATGAAATAATGCGACTTCATCAACAACCTCTAGAGATTCACATAAATATTATACTTCCATTCCTAAAACTGGGATATCTTGTCCTGCGTGTCGTCTCCTAATATGCCACTTAATGTTGTCTGCTCGAACTGAGCCTTTGTAGCCACCAATATGGGACATGTGACAACTTTCCGACGAACAAAAATAAAGCAGAGGACCAATAATGCCATGAGATGCGCGATTTCGTTCGAGATCTCTGTTCTCTGCGAATGGCTTTTGTGAGCAGCCGGGGGATTCGCATTTGAGATTCGGATCGTGGATCTTGAGATGTCGTCTTGTATTACTAGTTAGTATCAATGCTTGAATGGGGTATATGTTGCCTCGGATTATTTCCCCAATGCTCTGGGAAAAAAAACTCGACATGGGGGAAATTTGTATATCGATATGTTTAGATTTGGTCTCCAACTCTCGAGAAAATGTAAAGCTATGAGCATTTCGAATGTGAATCTTGTTACGCCTCTTTTGTGAAAAGATGAGGGGGGTCTTTTGTGTAGTGTGGAATTTAACCAAATAATGAGAAAACGGTCATCGGAGCTTACCTGAGAATAGCTTTTGTATTGCAACCTTTCTGACAAATAGTGCAAAAGTGCTTTGCATCTTTGATAGTCTTCTTTCCTGGACTCTCTTGTGGAGAGCTCCTGGAGGAAACATTTGCCGAAAGAGGAGGATAGCTATTCGAAGTGACATCGGTTTGGTTGTAGGCATTATTGTCCAAGGCAGGAGTTCTAGCATGTGATTGCGCGTAACAAAGCTCATCACATGGGCGACTAAAACCAGAGCCCATATCTTGGTGATCATCGACGGGTACATTTGGAAGTGATTCGAAAGGGAACACAAACGGTGAGGCATCGGCAATCACGGGTGAGATGCTGTAAGCATCTTGATGTGATTCTGAGCTCGGCTCATCGTTGAAGAAATTGAGGAATTCTGAACATGGATCATTGTCAAATTGTCCAAAATCATCCCAATTGAATTTGTGAAGTCTAGAGGGATGTCGTAGAAGTCGTCTTTTCTACCTATAATTGAATGAGCAAAAGGGTTCTATCATTCGCACCAGCTTACATACCTAATTGCCAATCATCATAACTCGAGATAGGTTGCTATGCGGAGATGTACGTCTCCGCTCGTCAAAATTAGATCTGAGATCTTACAGCAAAATGCTGTCAGATCTCAGTTTAGAGGACTCGATGTCCCTTATTCAGTGAATATAAGTACAAATGAATTGTGTTGTGATGAAGTGTTGATGAATAAAATGGAACGGAGCAATCGCGAATTTTATTCTGAATCAAACGGAGGCCCTGCGATGAACAAGCGCGGCACAATTAGGGACGTGGCTGCGCACATAGATCCAGACGACCACCTGCAATGATAGCCTGGAGTTCTGGAGATACTGCTACCCACCTGCGTATGACCTTGTGGCTGCTTCATCAGCCAATGAAAGTGTTGAAATCATCGCGGGGCCTCCGGGCGAGGAGAAAATGAGGCTGTAGATGACAAGAGATCCCTCTCTGAGTGGTGAATAAGGAAGGCCGAGGCCTCCATTAGAGGAGAATGATTGAGGTACCCATAGTTCGTAGTTTCAGTAGAATTTTGAGAATGCTAGATATCTTGAATAATAAAAATCATTCTACGAGGTACCTTCAATGGCGCTCGGGGTTATCACATGACCGTGCTAGCCACTTCACATCAAATTTGTTAAACACACACCAGCATTTAATAATACCACAGCACGAACAGGAAGGTAACACAAAGATCTAGAACACAATCAACACTAGCTAATATTGTATAGACCCTAGGTAATTATTCGATACTCAATCGAGGGCGGCTAAATGTTATTTAAAGTACAATAGACGCATCTCAAACCACCACAAAGTCCAAGCGCGATCCAACAGTACGTACGTTTGACATCGTACGAATCCTCCACTTTGGTACCACTAACCACAAATCTGACCTCGCTTCGAGAGCCCCGGGTCTTGGGTCATATCCCATTCTAACATTATTCCCCGCACCCTAAAGCCATGTGTTTCTAAATGTAAACCCGACGTCCCTTGTTTTCAACTTTCTTTTTGACTCGTGACGCCGGAATTTATGTAAAGTGAAGGGCCTCTGTCAAAGTCTGGCCAAGAGTCGTTTGCTACTGCCGCGTTCAAGGCCATGTTCGCTCGTGTTACACTATTCGGTTTGCTCGCTTGGTCCTCCAAGTGGCCCCTCTATCTCTTTCCACAATGTTGGTACCAAAATATGTTTCTACATTCTCCACTTGCATGGGAATAGCCCAGACCATATCCTGAGCATTGAGCATTGAGCTTCTTTACGCAAAAGAATATCCCCAGTAAATAGATCTAGTGCAAATCCTAAGATTCCAAGTGCAAGTCGATTTATCTACTGTAGCTCTGTATGTGGCAACTCATCAGAGTGTGATTCATGGGCACCCGAAACAGGATAGCTGACGGTGTGAGAAAGTGGTAATGGCACTGCGATTGTGGGTGCTGAAAGGACAAAGAGAGCAATAGCAAAGACAACTCTGAGGGAGCTTGTAGTAATATTTAGGAATTGCATTTTTGAATGACCTGATTGTGGGTATATATTCTAGTTCTCGATTAGCTGTGAATATCGTGAAAGAGAAATGAGCGTACGCTTTGATATTAGAAACGAAGAGTAGGGCTGTGTCCTTTTCTTTGCAGATTACTGTTGTATTTCTGAATGGCCACGAAAAGTCGAGATGATGGATTTTGTTTTCTCTTCTTATTATTGGAAATGTGCGAGTATTTATGTCCTAAATTCTAGGACCTCTGACCTCTTCGGCGTAGATTTGTTTGTTGGGGTTCGGCGGTTATGAGCAATATCAATCTTGACATAAGATACCCACTTGAAGATATCTGGCCTCGGAAATTGTTCTTTTATTAGATATCAGTGGTTATGAATAGGGCGATATGATGCGCTGCAAAAGGTATCAATTAACAATCTTATTGAAAGTCGAAGTGAAGAAACCAAGGATGCCTTCGGAAATCTGGAGCGAGAAAAATTGAGCAATATCTGCTCCTTTTGTGAGGCCCGGCACATGTTGACACGTTCTTCCCTACATTCCAAAGATCTCTGTTGTGAATTATTTCACGTATTTTAATGGTGGGCGTTTTGAGGAATGTAATACTTTGGATATTGCTTGGCATGTACCATGGAAAATATGTTCTGCCTCAGAGTCACTTAACCCTCCGAAATGGTATCAGTGAAAGGTATATAACGAAGTCATTCTAGACTCCACTTCCACTTCGTCAATTTAGGGAGATATGATTGATAATCGACAAAACTACCCAGCCAAGAAATCAATAACTATTCGATACAAAGGAGACATTCTATCTCCTCTCATTAGACATTGGAGAATTCTGGATATCCCGCACATCACTCAAAAACAGACAGTCAAAACTTTCTATGCCACACGCGCCACATTTCGGCAGAAAAAAAAAGCTTGATGTTGATTATAAAGTACTGCTTGGCAGCTTACATTGGCAAAACACAAACTGTTGCTCTTGATAATTGTGATCCAATTGAAAACAGAAAGGACTGTTAGTTACCATGCAGGATTGCTCGAGACCGATAGTCTCGCTGATAAATGTAAGTAGAGATATGTTGGCTAGTACACAGCATTACGAATGAAATATGGAACTTCTCGTGTTGGCTTCTCTCGTGTCAGCCCGCCGAAAAAAAACATTAGACGTCCGTAATCAATGATTCTCCATGAATCAAGAGTTCAGAGTGAATACATCAGCCCTATCATCTGCAAAAGCGCTACGAGGAATGTCCTAGGATCTGATAGTGAATATATCAAAATAGATTTGACACGACTGAATAACCGCCAAGTCTATTCATCTGCTTTTCCACTAGGGATCGAGATGATTGAGTCTTTCTAGAAAGTTTTATGCTTCTAACTCAGAGATTTAAGCCTCAAAACGACAGGCTTTCCGGTATGAACTTCGTCCCATAGTGCCATTCAGATTTAAATGTCGAAGCATGCGAAAAGCGAGGCTAAGGCACAGGATAGTTACAAAGACTACGTAGGCGAAGGGGAAATGGTCAAGTAACAATACCTAAGTATGGGTGTAACAATAGAGTGCTCCGGCTTTAGAGACGTCGATGGAACTACCAACACGCAGCCCTCTCGTTGACCGAAGGTGCGGTACTAACAAAGATACAAGGTAGAAACAAAGGATGACAAATGGAGTTCGGGTGAATACTGTTCATCAAGGGCTAAGAAGGCAAGCTTTCAGATTCATCCTGACATTGCAAGATAAAGGACAAAATGTAATTTGGAGAGATTGGAAGAGTAGCGGAAATTCACACGTTGCAAAGTAAATCCTTGACTTGTGGTTAACTAAGTCTTGGGGTAAATATATCTCAAAATGAATCCAATACATGGTGTATATCTGTGACTACATTTTCACCTTTGTAAATGAAGATTAGCTAAAAAACCTGGATACGGCTTCATTCTTTTCTTGCTTATCAAAATTTTCCCGACTCTTGACTGCCATGTGTAACTTTGTAGGTGAAGCAAATTTTTAGTATTCACTCGAACTAATTTCCTCAAGTTGCTTCAATAATATGAATCACCATATACGATAGGCTCACCAAAGCGGCATTCGCTTGGAATCAGATTACCTTTTCAAAATGAAATGAGCAGTCATCTCTCTGAAGCCGTATTGGCTTGAACCATACTATGTTTTCGAGATATTTTGCACAGTACTCTCATGAAAGATTCAACGGTACGGTACAGGCTAGTATCTCAAGCTCTTTCTCAAGCTCTTCAACCACCATAAAAGGTTGAGCTCTCTCCCGCCTACAATTTTACTTTTTATCAACACAACATCAGAACAACGCCTTAGACTCTCTACGCAAGAAAACACCACGTCTAAATCTTTCTCTGTCTCCGTTTGCCTCAATACATCCCCACATCCACAGTAAGTGAAAAGAAACTTCGTTTGACGAGCAAAGAACTGACGATACTTCAGCTTAAATCACAATCGAAACTCTGACACCTACCCAACCTCAAAATGATTTCCCTTAATCCAAGCCGCATTATGCCAAGCATGATTGGACTTCTCTCACTTCTCTCAATCACTGTCCCATTCGTCAACGCGACCCCAATCGTCTCCAAGGCAGTTTCACTTGCACCTCGCGCTGATCCTGGATTTACATGCCACATGGCTCCTGAAAACTACTGCACCATCGGTATCACCGTAACTCCATCGAGAATCGCCGCTGATCTCCCTGAGTTCATTTACCTTTTCGATAGTTACTGTAATAGATATGGATTCATGGAATCGGGCCTTCAATATCGACATGGCCAGCCGTCTTCCATATAAGGTTGTCGGAACACTAGCCGCCGAAGGACGGTACCGTCGGACGCATTGTAACTAACCCCAGCATTTGCTATGCTGGTAGATGCTGGGGATCAAAGGACCCTTGCTGGTACAGAGTCCCTATCGGCAATGGAAAAGATCAGTGGCAAAATGTTTGTGTATTCCAATGCAACAACATGAATGCCCGTCGAGACAACACAATTGAGGCTAGTGATGGAGTATCAGTTGATGTTGAGGCTCTTGACGAACCAATCAAGGCTAGTGATGGAGAAATCATTGAGACTCGTGATGGAACAATCGCTCGTCGAGGAGATCTTTGCCATCATGCCGACGCTGGCTATTGCACCATAGCCGTCACGGTCACACGTGAAAGACTCGCCGCGGGAGCCACGGATGATTGGGTTTACCTTTTCGACAGTTCCTGCCGTACAATCGGAGGCATGTATTCGGGCCAAAACATTAATATGGCCAGTCAACTTCCATATAAGATTGTCGGTCACATGGCATTTAACAACCAACGTCTTACCGCTTTCCCTGAATTCTGCTATGCGGGAAGATGTACCAGTGCGTATAATGGTTGCTGGATTCATGCCGATATTGGGAATTTCCAATGGGTCAATCGTTGTCAATTCCCCTGCAATTAACCACAACTTTATTATTCGCCAAACACCCGAATGATTCAGCATTGCCGATGGGGGTGTAGGAAAACTGGATCTATCGAGGTGATCAACTGATTAGAGAAGCAGATCAATCAGTATCGCTGGCAGATAAGCATAGGAATTGCTTTTGGCATGGATTTGACAGCTTATGCTGATTTCGGGTATTTCTTTTGTTATCTGATGGCAGGTCTGACATCGCAGAAAGTTTGAGCGTCATGGGTACTAATGATTGATTTGGTTTCGCATCTCGAGAGGCTCAAGCTTTTTAGCGTCGGAGTTTATATGTGGCGGATCGGCTGATGAGCGGATAGGTGCTTCCCAAGGTGAAAACCTATCTAGACTCGAAGAAGCTACGAACAGCCTGGAGATCAATGACAAAGAAAATACATTAAAATCAGTCTACTTTCAATACGTGAAATCTTTTATGCCATATGTGTAGAATTTACTTTGCTTTTGATTTGAAATGCAAAAAATGAGAATGTGGAATCAAATTACGTGGACAGGAAATGTACCTAGGTACAATGTAGGGGAAACGAGAAATTTGCCCCTAAATGAACAATATATTGATAAGTCGTACCTCGGTTCACTCTTGGTGGTGCGTGGAATTTCCTCACCTACTTGAGTCAATCACACCACACCGAAAGAACTTTCCTTTCTTCCAGTTTCGGTCCTACTGATGATCCCTTTGAAAAATCCTTTAAAACAAAATTATAAATAAAGTTTTCACCTTGGCAAGCGTACCCATACCGGTATCCTATAGTGAACCATGGTCATTATATCTTACTAGAAACGCATAGTTATCAGTGCCACATTCCGTGCGTCACAGGCGTTGTAGATCTAGAACAGGCGTAGAATGATCTTGAACCCCAAAACCGCAAATTTTTCTCCCATCTGGTTGGTTGTCTGGCGGTAAACATTTGGATCTATGAGAAAAAGGTCGTAAGCCCTCAAAACTTGCCGAGGTTAACTGATCATTTCTTGATGATACGGCCGCAGTGGGTCGCTAGTTTTGTGGATTTTATGTGGATTTACATCATACTAATCGCTAGAACTTTCATCCTACCCGGAAATTATTTAGTAGTGAAGAGTGCCAAATAATAACATAATAAGGAGGATCTCTCGCACCATGAATCTTCTTCTTCATCCATCTCAAAGATTGTGATCGTCTCTCAGTTCGAATTACCCATAAGATTTTGGATCTTTTGCGTGCAATATGTTCGACTTAGCACCCCGCCCCGATGAACCGATCGTTATCTCAACGACCCATAAATCATATCGATTGGGAAAAGATAGAGGACTACCACCTCATCTTGTTGGTGAACAGAGCAACTATCTCGTCGAACTAACAGATGAAAATGACCCTGCCAATGCAAAGTCATGGACTTTTGGAAGGAAGATGAGAACTGCTGCAGTTCTTGGTTTTGATACTCTTATCGCATCATGGGGTTCATCTGTATACTCAGCAGCTGTGGCACCAGTTGCCTACGAATTTGGCGTCAGTGAGGTTGTGTCTATTCTTGGTTTGACTTTATATATCTGTGGTTTGCAACTGGTATGTTTATCCCCTTGATTTATACCTTGAACATCATGGCTAATAAACATCTTACAGGTCCCTTGTTCTTTGGTCCAATATCTGAACTCTATGGTCGAAAGAAACCTGTAACCTTAGCATGCTTTGTTTTCACCTGCTTTATGTTTGCAGCGGCAACTGCCAAGGACTTCCAAACATTGATGTTATGTCGATTCTTCGCAGGTGTCTTCGCTTCTTGCCCCTTGGCTGTCGTCGGTGGCGCTTTCGCTGATATGTTTGGAAACGAGACTCGAGGTATTGCTATTGCTGCTTTCTCAGCATTGGTATTTATCGGCCCTTTCATCTCGCCTATCGTTGGAGCATTCATCACCACCTCTCACCTTGGTTGGAGATGGACCGAATACATCACTGGTATCATGGGTGCTCTCGCTTTCATTCTCGACATCTTGTTCCTCGAGGAAACATACGCCAAAACACTCCTCCAAAGCCGAGCAGGAAAGATTCGAAAAGAGACTGGTAACTTTGCCATTCACCATATCAGTGAAGAAGAGATCATCAGCTTTGATGATCTTGTCAGAAAGCATTTGTTCCTCCCGTTCAAGCTTCTCTTCGGAGAGCCAATCGTATTCCTCATCACCATCTATACCGCTTTCATCTATGGTATCTTGTATCTTTTCTTGGAAGCCTACCCTATTGTGTTCGCTGAATACCGTGGAATCGACCCAGCAGTTGCAACACTACCATATTTGGGAATGATCATTGGTGTTCTCTTCGGTTGTGGTATCGTCATTGCCTTCGAGCCAAGATATAATCGCAAACTCAAGGCGAACGGTGGTATTCCAGTTCCAGAAGAGAGACTTGTTCCAATGATGGTTGGTGCTTGTCTATTCCCATGTGGTCTATTCTGGTTTGCATGGACAGGAAACTATCCATCCATCAACTGGGCCGCTCCAACTGTCAGTGGTATATTAACTGGAGCCGGTATTATGACCATCTTCTTACAAGCTTTGAACTACCTCATCGATTCATATTTGTTTGTCGCTGCCAGTGCGATCGCTGCCAATACCTTCCTTCGATCTTTCTTCGGTGCTGGATTCCCATTGTTTGCCACAGCAATGTTCCACAATCTCGGTGTCCAATGGGCTGGTAGTTTGTTGGGTTTCTTGGCTATCGCATTTTTACCAATTCCTTTCTTGTTCTACAAGTACGGTGAAAGATTGAGAAAGATGTCTCGTCATGCTCCAACCGATTTCGGTGTACCTAAGAATCAGCCAGTCGACGAGGAGACTGGCACTGGCACTGCAGTTACCACTGCTGCACCTTCGATTGAAGAGGAGAAACCAGAACGGGTGGTGTAATGCAATGTATCATGATGATGGATACACTTATATGTTGGATGGAATGACTAATATGAAGTACACTTGTCTATGATTATTTTTCATGAGATGATTTGGCATCGTTGCATTTTGATGGCGTCGTTGGTATCAATACCCTGGTAAAAGCGTTGCATTTTTAGATAGAATAGAACTTATATACCTTAATTTATATATTATATGTAGAAACAATCCGCAATTCTTGGATTCAAATGTGAGGTATCGGTCATGGGGTGTGAGGCGTGAGCGAGGAGAGAAAGAGCAAGCAACGGATTTGACTAGTATCACGTGACAGGCACAAGGTTGCCTTGATTTTGTGAACCTGTAACAACGGACTGTTCTCTTTCATATCTTCACCTTCATGTATGATTACCCCGCTCGGGTGTCCAATCCGACTTCGTACCAAGAGATGACAGGTATATATACCCGCAATCTCATGCATTATGCACGTCGGAGTTGATCTGGTTAGGGCATTACATGGAGTGCATGCTGCTTATTCGGTGGAGATACTGATAACCTTATTGATGATCGCATCTGACACGCCCATCTTATAGTGTGTCGATATTATGGCTATATATCTTCACGATCCATCCAAACCATATGAAGATATTTTTGTTGAAGTCTCGTTGAAACAATGCCTTCTTATATTCTGAATCTTGGGTTTTTACTCGGTCAAATGCTGTTTCACGGGATCCTGGTAGTATTTCTCACAACAGCGCTGATAGTCAATCGATATCTCGTATGGTCTCGCCTTCGTCATATTCCTGGACCTCGATTAGCACCATTCTCAAATTTATGAAAGCTAAAATCAGCATTATCCGGCAGAATGCCAGAAGCGTTGAATGATGTGTGCGAAACATATGGTTAGCATACCTTGATTTGACTTGAAACTCACCATGCTAATTCAATCTGGAAGGTTCATTGGCACGTATTGGACCAAATGATCTTATTTGTAGTGATCCTGATGTCATTCGACGGATGGGTACTGCAAAGTTAGGATATCGTCGATCGAGATTTTATAGTTCTTTCGCTTTCAATCCTGATCAAGACACTATGTTATCGACTATAGACGAGAAAATTCATACCGACCTGAAAGTGAAGACTGCTGCAGGTGTAGGTTAATCATTTCGAAAAGCCTAGCTATGAGGTTGTATTGATCCCTTGATTAGTATTCGGGCAAAGACGTTGAAAACCTCGAGCAATCAATTGATAGGCAACTTAATGCGTTCATTGATTTGATTGAGCGAAAATACCTTTCAACACCAACCAATTTCCGACCTTTTGACTTTGCTAAGAAGATTCAATACTTCACATTGGATGCAATTACAGATATCGATGTGGCTTTTGGGACGCCTTTTGGATGTGTTGCTCAAGATGACGACATGCATGATTACATCAAGACTGTTGAACAATTACTACCGGCTGTTGTTGTTGCAGGAGTCTTGCCATGGTTGTTAACTCTATCACGAAGTTTTATCTTCAAACCATTTCTACCAACAGAAAAAGATAAGCTTGGTTTTGGAAAAATGATTCAGTATGGTTGCTACATCTCCATGAGGAGAAAAGGCTAACAAGTAATAGAGTTGCAAAAGATATCGTTGCGAAGCGATTTGGAGAATCAAAAGAGGTCCAGAATGATATGCTTGGTTCTTTCATCGCCCACGGACTCACTCAAGAAGAAGCTAATTCCGAGACATTGCTTCAAGTATTTGTCTCAACAATCCTCTTTTCATTTTCTTGGACCTGCAAAGCTAATGGAGGGATAGAATCGCTGTTACGGACACGACTGCCATGGCAATTCGAGCTATGTTACTTCACATTACAACTTCTCCAACTTGCTACATGGCCTTGCAAGCTGCTATCGATGAAGGCGTCAAAAATGGCGAAATCTCCTCCCCAGTAACTGATAATGAAGCAAAAGCCATTCCTTATTTGCAAGCAGTTATCAAGGAAGGTCTCCGGAAGTTTCCTGTAATCGCTGGACTTCTACCAAAAACGGTACCTGAAGGCGGCGATATCATTAATGGCTTTAGTATACCAGCTGGAACCGACGTTTCACTTAGTTTGATTTCTATTACGCATTCGAAAGCTACGTTTGGGCCAGATGCCCATATCTTCAGGCCAGAAAGATGGCTCGAATGTGACGACAATGATAAATCAAGAAAAATGACTCTCGCAGCCGATTTAGTTTTTGGGTCCGGTAAATGGTCTTGTTCCGGGAAGAATATAGCCATGATGGAAATGGGAAAGGTTCTCGTAGAAGTGAGTTTTGTTTCCAGCAGGGAATCTAACAAACTGACCTAAAAAGCTATTTAGAAGATCGATATATCCTTGGTGAATCCGATCAAGCCGTGGAAGTCGTTCAGTGCTGGGGCATATATACAATCCGATCTTTTTGTTCGGTTCGCGAAGAGAACACATTGATAGATGAAGCTGGATACCTCGCGGATACGTCATCGAGGTCAAAAATTTCAACTCAAGGTGTCGTCGCAAATATGACAAACTTCACTTGGGAGCAATCACATATGAATACATATTGACAAATTATTTTCCAGCAAAATGTCTTGACATGTGTATTCATCTCTAGATGATGATCGAGGCACCAGTTGCATCACGTGCTTGAGATCATAAACTTAATTTTTCTTTTTATTCTATGATGACCGTACTAAGGTTATAAGTCTTTCAAATGATCACATGACTAGTAAGACTTACTTTCGTGTCACTTCCATTCTACATGTGTCGAATAGTTCAACAACCTAAATGACTAAATTACCACTCCTGTGATTCACATGCTGTGAATATGCGAGAATGATTCATAATACTCCATCTGTATTCTATTGTGTTAGTCACTTTAATACAAAGCGAAACTAAATCCTTCTACCTGTAGCCACACAAAGTAAAGTCTTCGAAGCTCATTGATAGATTTATTCCCATACCGAGTCTATCCATTTCATCTAGTACTGTAAAGATTTTGCAGCCCGTGTCGCTTTTTTCTCTTCATTTTCAATAGCAGCATGGAATTTTTTAGTACTCACGAACAGAACAGCGCTCATTCTTCTCACCATGCAACAGTCTCCCAAATCCCCAGATAGTTCTCTACACAATAAAAATCGAACTTCATCCTTTCACTCCCTCCTAGCTCTCGCATCTCTAAGTCCTTTACGCACATTTCTAGCCCGCGCCCCCATTTCATCAAATAGTTCATCCGCCTCTTCAACCAGTACACCAGCCCCTCGTATTCCTCAAATCCACCCCGGCGAGTATGAGACGTACAAATCCGTCAACAAACTCCTTTCGACATTCAAATCTCACTCCATTGCCAAAGCCCGTCGGGCAAATGCCAAAGCCAAAGCCCAGAATCTTCATAATGAAGAAGAAGATACATATCGTAGTATTCACTGCGGCGATCAAATCTGTTGTTTTTCCTCGCCTTATTCATTTTATCGCACACGTTCAAAATTATCCTCATCTACTACGCGATCTAAAAATTCCCAATCACAATCTCGATCTCGATCTGTTTCGAATCCAAATTTACGGCTGACGAGCTTGATAGGCGACGAGAAATTATTATCTTCATCTGTTTCTTCATTATCCTTACATCCTTTTCGCAGATCCCTTACTATCACCGGAAGTTCGAAACGGTCAATTTCCCTTTTTTCAGGAAGTCCGCCGCCATCGGCAAAATCGCTGCGGCCTTTGTATGAATACCCTGAGCCGGTTGGATCGAGAAGTTCTAGTTGGTTGAATGGACAGATAGGTACAGAGGTGGAGAGATCAAAGAGCGTTAGTTGGGCTCCAGATATGCCGGTCAATCGTCGAAGAAGTGACAGTCAGCATTATCGACCGAGTAGCTTATCTCTATTTTCATGGACGGCAGAGGATATTGAATCTGGGGTAATGAAAGAAAGCATACCGGTGCAAGAGAAAGCAGGAAACAGAGATTGCTTATGAATGGGATGGAGCTTTTGGATGGACACAAGCTTGTAAGGAATGTGGGAGAGAAAGATGTGTTAAATGCTCAGGGATTGTGTTTGAACAGATTGTTGAAGAGGGAGAGACGGTCACTGGGAAGGAAGGGGTGTTTAATATTTGTACGCCGTGTGTACATGGATTTTGTCCAGGGACAAAAATGTGGCTGAGAATTAGATGTAAGAAGTGTGGAGAAGTAGGACATCCAAGTTGTAGTAAGGTATGTGCGAGGGAGGGTTAGAGTGGTTGGAACATATCGATAACGAAGATAGAAATGAGTAGGTCGAAGGAATAGTACCCATAATTCAAAGATACAATGCATTACTAAGTTTTTCTCTGCCCTTGTACCTAGACGCTTGCATATCTTTATTGTGTATTCTGGTAGATCTGCAGACACGGAATCAGAAAAAATTCGAGCTTATGATACAAAAGATTTGAATCCCGGAAACTCTGTAAGAAAGCTCAGAGGATCAGTAAAATGACCATATGAGAAATTAAACAATTCCAATCATCAACTGTGATTAAGAAATGAGAGATCCAACCAAAAAAGGGCTAAGCCTGAGCTTTTAACGTCCATTGAATGGCACTCGTTTAACCAGTGGATAGTATATTGACATGCCATAACGAAATATCCATAGCAGGAACTTCCTGATGAATTTGAATGAAAAGATTTGAAGACAAGGTTCTAACCATGCCAATGACCACCGCCATCTCTCTCTATACTTCCGTGCCCCCTTCCCCATCTCCCTGATCAATATCTTTGAACTTAGAAAGAACCAGCTTCAGACTCGAATATGATAGAATTTTCCAAATACCCACACTGGGGGCGAAAAGCAAGAACTGGATGCATATAAGAGCAGCTGCAATAATAAGTCAATGACAAGATCTTTATTTATCAACTTGATTGCTTAAACAAGCTTTGTAGATTGTAGTATTGTATTCCCCGGGGGTAAGGAAAAGGGACAGGCGATAGATGTATTTGAATAATAAATCGACGAGCATGAATGCTTTCTGATTTTTGAATCAAAATATGAACATTCGCTCTTTCCCTTTAGTAATCATGTAGCCCATCGCTCCCATCACCTTTCACTCGTGGACCGCAAAATTATCATGGTGGCCACCTTCAAGTGCAGCACTTTGCTAACCACATGACACATGCCAGAATCGCATGGAGGAGAAACAGACGGCCAGCTATGCAGCCTAGGATTGGACCAATCAAGCAAGTTTATGAGGAATGTTACCTTCCTACTATGTAGAGATCCAACAACAGGCTCATAGGGAATTTACGAGCATCTCTTGAGGTTGGAGCCTGAGATGGTAGGTCCAGGGTGATGGGTGAAACAAAACATCGGTAGAGGTCTAACTTAGATGAAAAACATCAATCGTTGCTTCCCGTTTTAAAGAAAGGATGCTTTGAGGTATAAGTTGAGTTTGAAAGTGACAACTGGGCGTACTGATTCGATAAACGCCTTGCTTCATAAATCTTGCAAACGAGGATGTAATTCTCTATTCAGACCGTAGGTCGAGTTTGAGAAACAAGAAAATATAAAACAATTTTAACAAAAAGGGCAGTATCACATCCCAGGCCCAACAAGCATTTCAATACAGTTTCCAGTGATTGAAAATGTTTGACTTGTGAGATTTTCATCTCTAATGTCGTGAGTTTTTTGCCATCCTTCGTGCGACCGGACCTTGCGATGCATAGGATGACGTACAGATCATGCTTGTTCTACATGTTGTATTGTATGCATACCAGGTATGATACAAGCTGAATGCTGAATATGAAAACGGGGGAAAGAGTGTTTAAACAATTCAACAGCGAAGGGAATTGGGAACGCAGTTATGATAAGATTCATCCAAATTGTCAAGGCCAGGCGAAGAATGTTCTTACGATGTACGAAGTAAGGATGTCATCGGATAAACCCCAGGTCAAGTCCAAAAAATAATCCGTGCGCTAGAACGACACGTGATCAGATCCTCAGGTTCATAGATTTCCCCCAGATTGTTGTTGAATCAACGACAAACATCAAACCATGACAGCTTTATGAATACTTAACAACTCTCCTTGACCTCTTCTTCTATTTCATCTGTATCTCACGGCTTCACAGGTAAGTCTCTCATCATTAACGTGGGGCTGCTATGAAAGTAACCATCATATGGCGAAATCATGGTTCCTCATGGTAGTGAGAGTTCCTACATGATCTCCATATATCTCTTTCACCACCATCTTCATCTATCATTTATACATCTATATATGATAATCATTACATTCTCTATCATTCTAGTAAGTTTAAAAGCTTCTCAGCCAAGTATTGCTGTTGCTTTTCAACTTCTTCTCTCCTCTTTGAACTCGCATCTTTCCAGATTCACACAAGCCTCGCTTCGGCTACCAGTCATCATCAAGGATTCCAATCAAGCAAAGAACGGCTACATACCTTACCTATATCTTATTACTATCACTTTTCAAATCAACGCGCCTTCTTTCTGTCAAACATCAACATACAAACTCATAATTTCAAAAACATCAAAACTTACATCTCATACATCAACTTCTACCTTAATATTTAGGTTTATTCTCAATATTTTACAATGGCCGGCGGAAAAGGAAAATCTTCTGGTGGAAAGTCATCTGCTGGAGGCAAGATTGGCGCAGATGGAAACAAGAAGCAACAAAGTCATTCAAGCAAAGCCGGTCTTCAGGTTAGTATTGCGCAAGCTTTGTATTTTATTTTCTCTTTGTCTCTATGAAATTTTGTGGTTCGATCCGGAGAGAGACGGAAACTACGATTTTTACAATATCTACACCCCACCAAGTCGCGTCAACTTTCGATCTGCGAACAATCCCTTGGAACAATTACCAACAGTCGCGATACACATTAATCTCGATGACTACAAACTCCTATCCATGAATCAACTATATCTCCAAAGCCTCGTCGAGGAGTTCTTTTTGACGCGCACCGAATATCAACAAGACGTGCATACGCGAGATAAATTTTCTCATCCTGGGAAAACCTCGATTTCGGAATACCTCTTTCTTTGTTTTGAATTGCGCATTAATTGTTAGATTTTTATATGCTGACAAATATTGAAAACAGTTTCCTTGCGGTCGTGTCAAGCGTTTCTTGAAGAACAACACCCAGAACAAGATGCGCGTGGGAGCGAAGGCAGCAGTTTATGTTACAGCGGTCTTAGAATACCTAACTGCTGAGGTACTTGAGCTCGCAGGAGTAAGCTACATCTATACCCCACGATTGCGTAAAAAAGCATCCACTGATCATTTTAGAACGCTGCCAAGGATCTCAAAGTCAAGCGTATCACACCCCGCCATCTACAACTTGCCATTCGCGGTGACGAAGAACTCGATACACTCATTCGCGCAACTATCGCTTTCGGAGGTGTGCTACCACACATAAACCGCGCGTTACTTTTGAAGGTAGAACAGAAGAAGAAGAAGACTATCGAGTCCGCATGATCATCGCAAACACACACGTCTACGATTCATTTACGCACTCCGCTTTTTTTACGCTATTTCCTTCTTCTCTTTCTAAGGGTTCAGAGTTTGATGGTGTCTTGGGGATATTCACTTTTTGCTTGGTTTCATAATGGAATTGATTACTTATCATGGATCGGACTATGAGATAGGATTATAAAAGGCTACATGAGTTCATCCATGAATGAGGCACAATTCGGAACGACTTCTCTCTGGATTGTTGTGGAATCACCTCAGGCCGATGTACTATTATCGATTTTGAATGAGATCGGATATTACTTCAACTTTACAATAGTAAATGTGATGTTCAAAATGATTATGCGGTATTTTGAATACCAAACCAATGCTAAATGTTATTTATACATTCCGGCAATTCGCAATATCCACTTCCTCGAAGAACCTCCCAGTTGCAGGTCCACCAAATTACTCGAATCAAACAAATGTGGATCATTATCGAATATGCTTCCTCCTCTGTTCATCCCAGGGGGTGACCTCATCAAGATCATCCTCATCATCACAATCCTCTACTGTATAAAACATCTTCAACGGACTACTAGGTGGACTTTCAATCTCTACACTAGATCTCCGACTTTTGCTTCCCTCTCCTTCTCTCACCCTCGGTCCCTCCCAAATCTCCGTCCACCACCTCTCCTACCATCTTTCCATACTGCACCTCTGATAACCTCAATCCCGTGAGCTGTTCAATTTTCGCTATGCTTTTCCGTTTCTTCACCCGTATGAACTCCCTCACGTATCCCTGTTCATCCTCTTCTGTTTCTTCTTCTCCTGCTAGATCGTCTAGTTCAGGAGGATACGAGACTCCCAAACCATCTTTCAATTCTTGTCTTTCGTTTTCACATTCTTTTCCTTTCGGACTCGTAGATCCACTGCCGCCATAATTTATATCCGCAAAGGCGGTATGACTTGTCAGAGGACTAACAATGAATTGCGCCTCGTGTTCTAATCCGCGTTTCTCCGCTTCCAAACTCTTGCGCCGTTCGCGCTCAACGAGCGTGTTGAAATCGGGAGAAGTAATATCGGGCATGAGAGTTGAGGAACTATGGAATTCGCCATGAGCACGAGTGGCTGGTGGTGTAGTAGCTGCTATATCAAAGATCAACTGTTGATCTTCTCGTTCATCATCTATGCGTTGACGTTCCTCGGCACTGATGGGAGAAATGGGGAAAATTAACTCCGGCTCGCTTTTTTGTCGCGTTTTAGGGGTTACTGCCGATCGTAAATGTACAGTTTGACATTCCGAGGGAAAATCGCAGTCGCGGTAACAATCTTTGCCTATTTTCAATGGAGGGATGAAGTGTGGGTTGTTCAGAGAACGAGATTCGGTTTTCAGGAGAGAGATGTCCCGTCGCCAGTGGTTGTAATGTTCCCAACCTGTGTAGTCAAATTCGGCGCGGCAGCCACGGGGTTGGCGACGACGTTTCTTTTTCTTTTTGGGGGGAATCATGGAGGAAAGAGAACTAGTAGAGGGGGATGGGGACACGGGAGAAGCGGTTTGTGGAGATGGGGGTGGAGTTGGCATAGAACAGAAGTAATGACCGTCTTCGACTATAGAGCTCGCTGTTAGTAAGTGACGTGTATGAGGGGACATGAGTAGATCTTACGGCAGCGACGGGTGACGCCAAGACGGTAAACAGAGTGACATATGTGGCAAGCGCCAAATCCATGGGTAAGGTATAGGAGGTGGGGGTTTGTGAAGATGTGGCGAGATGGGTGGGCTGGGTAGCAGGCTGCGTTGGTGGAGTCGTCGAGGTGGGGTTAAGGGGGAAAGAGGTGAGGGATGGGATGTTCCATGTTTGAGAAGAGAGGGATAGCTGGGCACAGTTATGTATTGTGGTCGACGATCCATCATACGTTATTATGATATCCTCGTTGAAGTTGTCGATCAATGGTAACTTGATGATCTACTGATCTCTCGAGAAATGAGGTGGAATAGATGTTGATGTTGGACGGGATAATTTCTTTGTTTGTTACTGGGAAGCTATTTCAACAATTTACTCGTTCTTGAGTATTGGAAAATCTCATCCAACGCCAGCGCGATGTTGCCGATGTCAAGAAGTCAATGACGAAGCCCTAAAGATTCCAAGTGTAATTTCGGTGTTCTTCTCACGAAACTTTCCAAGTCTTCAGTCACACATCCCGTCGCTGTGGCGGCAATTCTTTGAAAGTAGACCCGTGTTAGAACAACCTGAGGCTCCGACCACAATGTCAATGTCAAGGTTCAAAAAGGCCAATTAATCCAAATGGTGACCCTACTTTGCTAATCAAATAGATGAGATGGAATGACAGGAAAATAGAGAAAAAGCAAGCAATTGAACAAGAAACGAGAACCTCTATAGATGAGCAATTAAAGATTTAATTTCTTAAATTTTCTCATTCTCAACCATCTGGTCAGGTTCACCATCTGCTGTTGAGACGTCTTTGTCTATGAGGCGTGATCTTTCTTTCACATAATTATTCCGTCTAACTATATTAGAGGTGCGTGTAATGTATCATCGATAGATAAGCAACAAAGGAATAAATAGTGTTGGAATGAGAATTTTATAAAATGACGTTTCAAAATCATACGAAAGTTGTTGGTTGGGTAGTGGCCAAGACCAGCCAGCAGCATTATGCGAGTTGGTGTGCTATCAATCTTCCTGATCAGTTCGAGGTCAAATTATTGGGAGATCCTACCAACAACTCATCGAATTTTACAGATGTTCGAGATGGATTAAGCGCTGCCAATTCCGATGAATAGATGTTCTATGGTTTAAACCAAACGTTTCAACTAACTGTCTGCTGAACCACGTTCATGATGGTTCAATATCCAAATTCATGTATTTGAACATTGGTGTTGAGTTTTCGTCATTGAAAGTCACTAGACACAAAGTAAATTTGACTCCCTAATCTGGTTTGGGTTTCAAGATTCTGCGATCCTGTTGGGGGTCGCTTTCTGGTTGTTGGCGGTCCATAGCCCAGTCTCGGATGGTCGATGATTTTCAATCAGCACCCTTTAAGGTTACAGCGAGTGTTGAGCATTCACGCATCCCAGAAGTACAACATCGGGGTTGACATAGCCTTGATGTCGATGTTCTCAATATGAAGGTGTTTTATCACTATGGTGGACATGTAAGTACGATTTCTTAAACACTGCACTTGATCTACCGTGCGCTGTAGATTGACCGATTTCGGTAATTCAAAAGTACAATCTGTGTGATGTATGATAGGAGAAGTCGTGTCTTTCTATACGTTCTTTCTCAGTCCAAAAACAAACAATCTTGGTATAGGCGATGGGCTGTAGCGTTTGAGATGGACAAAATCATCAAGCATAAGAGCCCCAGACGTCTAATCTCCAGTGTTGAAAAGCCCAGTTTCCAAAAAACCAAAAGAAATTCCAGAAGTATGAGGGTCACTGCTCAGCCATACTACTGAATTCATTTCGGTATCTATGCCACCAAGAAGTGATAGCTAAGGATAGATTTGAGAAAATTTGGCAAGCTTTCTTATCTCGTCCTCGAAAACCTTCGCGTATGTTATAATAGGATATGCGAGCCAAGAAAATGGTAATCCTATGTGTTTGCGATATCCAGAGGTATTGTATCACAGGTTAGGACTAGATACACGATCTCCAATTCCTGAAGTGATTTCGTGGTTGGCACAAGTAGTTCATGAGCGTATTCAAGGCATGAATTGTTTGTGAAGTTCGTTCAAAAATGACCAGAATGTAGAATCGACATCACTCTGTTTGCATATCCAAGTAATTCGGATGCTTCGGTCATCATTTCATGTAGTTTTGAGAGTTGACTCTTTCAGTGAGATTGAATTATGAACAGAACTGTATAAGAATACTAGAAAACAGTAGAATATATTGTACGATTCAACATCTCGGATTGATGGAAGGGCATTCAATTTGATTACCAGCCAATTTGGTGATTACATAATACTATCACGTGATACGTGGCAACAACTTGACAACAATTCTTGATGCAGGTGCCTCTTGATGCCTCTCGACGCCGGTAAATCACCCTTGTCATTATCATTATCATTTATCAATCATCAATTGAGTCTTATTATCTTCAAATTAGATTGGCAAAATGAAGCTCATGTTATGGTCATCAACATTCACCGGAATCTTACCTCGAACATACATTCAAATTCGGACACGACCTCATCTGTTGGATAAAATTAGAAAGGGACTGGGTGATCTAATACAGTGAGGGCATTTTGGTAATATTTGATTAATTGAAAATTAATATCTGTATCAGATGGTCTCATAACGATATGCTGAGATGTCTCGTTGCAAGCGGCAGTCATGCAGGCTTATTTTTCACCCTTGTTACCTGTACGTACGTATCCCCTTGCTTGTCAGAGTAGCATTAGTTGACTGTAACTAGCTTTTACTGATACCTCATATTACAAGGTACATGATTGTATCGTATGAGACCATATACAGTAAATAGGCATCATGCAATCTGTGTGGCTGCGGTACTATCACACTCCTGTGCGGCCCTGCATCCGAATGTCACCGTGATTCTGATATACCAAGTCTGCCAATGACTCTAAGTGCCGGGTCCGTGAGTTCTGGTGCGCAAGTCACCCCATACTGGAAGCCACTTGAAGATCTGACTTTCCAGTACTTTTATATGGAGTATGTTTGTCTTCACAAAGTTCCACCTTTTTTAGGTCAATGGATATACATTGGAACAGCGATGTCTTTATGCATTCTCTAGATACTTTCTCTAGTCCATTACGCTATTCGATCATCAATTCATGCTGTAGGGAACACGGTCGATATTCAGATATTACCATATCCAATCCTGCGCCAGATTTATGACAATTCTGATTTGATACTGACTCTCCATGCTGATTCGAAGGATTGCTCCCTGTTTCTTTCAATTTTCAGATTATCATGAACCTGAAAAGATAAATCTGTCGACCCGCTCGGTGTTCTGAACGTCTCGGGCGGGGTGTTGCGTTCATAAATTTGGATCCATTCTCCGCTTTCATACGCAGAGAAAGTCCTATATCCAAGCCACGCTCTTCTTCCATGATAGCCTTCAAATTCGAACTTCATTTCGATGTTTCGTAGGCGATTCGATTCCGGGACTATTGCTATCATTTCGCCCAATCCACTTTCCTCAATTTCTCGAATTCTCTCGGCCACTTTTGCAGTCAACAAACTGTTCCATAGACCTTCCTGCCTATCAGCCTGGCTTAGTAACAGGATAGCTTTGTTTCTTATGCGTCTATGTCGACATTTCGTGGCTACTAGGAATAGGGGCTGTAGTATTTCATTGTCTAATGTGAAACTTGCGGCTTTACGACCTCCTATTTGAATATTCGATGGCGTGTGGATAATATCGGATGCCCACTTTACCATCGCCTCGAATTCCAACTTAAAATCATCCCAAAGTAACTCACTCGATTCGTTAAACCTTGCAGAATGTGTTGTGGAGGTCGTGACCAATATTTGGGTCATAGTTTTGTGTAGGCGGAGAAGGTCCCTCGCTCTCATTTCCATCGGACTGACTATTTCAATATTACCTCTCTCGATTGACGTGCATGAAAATGATTCAAATGCTCGGTTCCAATTCTCGAGATGAGCCAATAGTTGTAATTTGGTTTCCTGGCTGGTAGGCAGAGGAAGGGGAACGCCATTATACATGGAGCAAGACAAGAGGTTTCTTGCGCTATATGTCCAGATTGATTCCATTGCCTCGCGCGCTTGTTCGATGTTCAGAAACCTGTCTGGAATAGAATTTGGTGAAGAGCCAGACTCGCCATCAATTATACGTGCCCTTGAAGTTAAAACCGAGGCTTGTGTATCTAATCTGCCGAATAACATACGGAATATTGGAACGGGAATATGATCTTCAGGCAGATCATACGAAACAGGAGTTGAGTGTCCGGATACCTCCAGCTCCGAAAATATTTTTACTCCGCCGTCGATATGCGCGAGAGCGGAGTCGTGGTGCCCTCTTAAAGTCTTCAGATGCATCATAAGTTGGGATTCAAAAATTCGAACAAATAAACGGAAATTACAAAGACACTTACCTCGAAGCATATGAATAGTATGCAGGTTGTTAACGCAACGTTTGCCGACTTACATGTATGCTTGGACATGTTCGGTTGCACCAGACAATTTATTGCCTTCACATATTGACGTACGGCAAAGGAATTCTCCTCAGTATCATCCTTTACCTTGGAGATAAATCTATCTTCCAACTCAAACCTCTCATGTAAAGACCCAAGCGCAATAGCTGCATGTCGTACAGCCGGCTCACGATGCGAAGCTTGCAGAACGAAACAATTCCAAAATTTCGAGCCAAAGCAACCGCTTAGCTGAGGCGCAGTTTGTCTATGGAAAAAGTTGAAAGAATGCTGTTCCTGATCACTGACAGCTAGCGTTGGGGACAAGAAGTCGGGAATTATTGGAGGTATTTCATGTGTGGCACGGCTGGAAGATTTCGGGACGATCGAAGACGAAATTGCACTAGGTTTGGGGTTTGGACTAGGGGTACAATGAGCATAGCCGTCACATTGACGCCCTGTTGCAGCACATTTCCTACATCCGGGTCTCCCTTCGTCGCATTTTACATGGCGAACCCT